AAAATTGGAATGCTAAGTGCTAACCCGAGCTAAGTTGCTCAGCGTACCAGTTTCGTGTGGCCGTGTGACGGTGTATTTTCTGACCCAGCCCAGGGGCCGGTGCGTTTGTGTGCCGTTCTGTGTTCTTTTTGCCCGTTTTCGGCCGGTATCTTGTACGGTCGGTTTTTGTGACGTCTTTGTTAGGACTGGCAGTGTTTCTGGGCGTCTATTGATAATCCTGGCTGATCGTCTGACGCCACCAGCCCCGTACCTTTGTCCCTGTTAGCACTTTTTTCCAAGGGGGGTGTAACTATTTCGGCTGTTGAGTCGGGCGCAGTTAGTTGGCGCAGTCGAAAACGGAACAAAGAGACCAAAAACAAAGGCTGGTAGCCCTGTATATTTTCAGAGGCAATGTAGCCCCGAGACACATTTGTAAAACCAAGCCGCATTTATGTAGCAAAACCAAAATTTCAGTCAGCAACTTGCACACATCTGCCGCACGCTTTGTGGAAGGCTGATAGAGCGGCGCCAAACAGCGTAGGCTGACTCGGGCCCGGCTGCGGCTGCGGCTGCAGCGGCGGCGCGGCCGCGTGCCAACTCGTGCCTAAGCGCTGTTTGGCGCCCGTAAATAGCTGCACTCTTGACGCGGCGAAAACAGGCGGCGCTCGGCACTGAGCAATGACCGCCGCCGGCCCGCCGCCCGGTTGCGGAAGCCGGGTAAAAAGTATTGGCCGCCGGAAAGGTACCGCCCGTTGCCCGGGAGACGGGCGTTGCTAGGGCGACCTCAGAGCGCCGTCGATAAGGGAGAGAGGGAGATGAGCGGAGTCAGCCGACGTGGGTATGACCTGTGGGGCCGCCGTCTGACGAGCCTTCCTGCTCTGTTGCAGCGGGCCGAGGGCGACTTTCTGGCCGGCCGGTCGGCTAATCTGGTGACGATGCCGCGGATGGTGCCGCTGCAGCAGCACCAGTCGCCGCCGCCGCCGCCGCACCACCACCACCACCCGCACCCCCACCAGCACCAGCACCAGCACCAGGCGCACGGGCCGCTGCAGATGCCGCCTAGCAGCGTGCTGCCGCCGGCCGACTCGCGCGCCGCGCAGCTGGAGCTGGCCGCCCACCTGGCCGCCGGCGGCCACCGGCTGCGGCGGCCGGCCGTGCCCAGCCGCCGGCCGCCGCCGCCGCCGCCGCCGCCTCCGCCGCCGCCGCCGGCCGCGCCGCTGCCGCGCCGCCACCTGGGCCGCAGCCTGGTGGTGCCGGCCTCGCACGCCACGCCGTACACGCCGTTCCTGCTGCAGTTCCTGGCCATGCTGAACAGCCCCGGCGGCGTGTCGGCCTACGGGCCCACCGAGCTGCCGACCGGCAACGCCGAGACGGAAAACTACGAGGCGCTGCTGACTCTGGCCGAGCGGCTGGGCGAGGCCAAGCCGCGCGGCCTCAGCAAGGCCGAGGTGGACCAGCTGCCCAGCTACCGGTTCAACGCCGACACGCACAACTCGGACCTCACCTCGTGCGTGGTGTGCATGTGCGACTTCGAGAGCAGGCAGACGCTGCGCGTCCTGCCCTGCAGCCACGAGTTCCACACCAAATGCGTCGACAAGTGGCTCAAGGTGAGTTCCAGCGCGCTCTCAAATTACCGGGAGGTAGAGCGATGGCATAAGAGAACCATGTCAGTTGTGTTGACTTCGTTTAGACTTTTCAATCAGTGCCTGGGTTTGCATATGTTGAACTGGCGCCTTAGTTCAACATTGTTTCTATTTACTCTATGCCTTGTAAGGGCCGACAGGGATTGTGAGCGAACATACACCTGGAATTATTGACGGCTGCAGGTATCGGTAGATGAGCATGTGCCCTTTTAAAGATTGGTTGTTATCGACGTTGTACAACGATAATGTGTGCAAGTGCTGAAGCCCGCACGCCGGCCTGGTCAGCTGTATGACGCCGAGCTCTCCGTGCCCACAGACGAACCGCACCTGCCCGATTTGCCGCGGCGACGCGTCCAGCTACTTCGCCGCCTCTTAGACGGCTGTGGGCGGCGCGCGCCCGTCAGTGTGCCTGCCGCCGGGCGGCGCGCCGTTTCCCGTCCTCTGCGCCCGACCACGCCGCCACGCCGCCGCGCGCCCTGCCTTCCTACCCAGCATTCCACCGAAGAACATTGCAATAATCTCGCCCATTGTGCGCACCGTAGGACGTCCAGCGCTCTACCACGGCGGCGCGGCCCGCAGGTTCGGCCCGCCGCCCACGCATAATAAACCCACGCGCTAATCACGTCTCCCGCGCTAAGTGTACAAACAGCCTGCTGAGCGTGCGCACTCGCGCGTCCTTGTGTGCGCACACACACGCTCGTCTTTGTGTGAGTGAGTGTACCACGTAACATCCATGTAACTCAGGCGCTTTGTCATGTCGTATCGCGTTGTGCTCAAGTCGTAGACGCCAATGGTTTTGTGTGTTTGTGCGTGTGTGTGTGCGCGCGCGCATGTGTGTTGTGCGCCGCGGCGCCCGCCCGTCGGTGTGCTGTTTTGTTAGGGTCGCCGCTAGCTCCTTGTTACTAGCCGGTGGGTAGTTCGGCGCACGTCCGGCGCCCCCGCCGCCGGCCGGTCTCGGCCAGCGCTCCGCCTCCCGGCGCCCATCTCCCGTCCGTCTCCCCGCTCCCGTTATTTCTGTCCCCCGTTCCTCGGCCGTACCGATCCCGCCGCCGGCCGCTGCCGCCGGCTCGGCCCGTCTGTATCGATTAGTTCAGACAAGTCCGCAGGCCGGCAGCCGGCCCTCTCCCGCCGCCCCCGACGGGGAGGCCGGCTGTCCATTCCGTTCGTTTCCTGGTGACCCGATCCCGTGTCCGCCGTTGGTTGCGTTCCTGGCCCGGTCGTCCCCCCCCTCCCCCGTCCCCGTGCGGCGGCCGGGCCGTGTCTCTCCTCGTCTTCCGTCGTGTTCTGTGGGACCAACAGTGGCCGCGCCGGCGCGGCGGCGGCGGGCCGCCCGCACCCGCTGCACCCGGGCCGCCCGACCGCGCAGCACCGCCTGTGATCGTCGCTTCTTCGCCTGACTAACCAGAGGCGGCCGTCTGTCCGCGCGGCCCCGGCCGGGCCGGACCGGGCCCAGCCGCCAACCCACCAGTTATTCGTTGCCACTCGGTATGATCTCTTGTTGTCAAGCGTGCCATTATATTCTCTAAATCCAGTACTGTTACGTGTATGAGTGCCGCCGTGCATTTTGCCTGTAGTTGCGTTGACCGGTGTGGTGCCGGGGCGCGGCCGGCGCGCTGACCGCCCCGCACCCGTCTCGGCGCCCACCCGGATTATTGTAGGCCCACCGGACGGTCCTGATTTGCCGCCGGGCAGTGGCGCCGTCGGCTGTCCGGTGCGCCGCCGTTCCGCGGCGGGCTCGTTACACAGTTCAATTTACCCAGTTATCATATGCTGTTACGTGACAGTTATTAGCCGGCGCGTGCGCGCCCTCGCCCGGTACGCGTCGCTCTTCTACCCGCTGACTAGGGTAGTGCCATAGGCGTCTGACAAGGCGCCGGCCGCGCCCGCCACTCCCGCGCCGCCCACTCCTAACCTTCGTGTCTCGTGTGTCTTTACCAGCCATGTGTCAAGTGCTAGCCAGATAATTGGGCATTGGGACGTTCGAAGGAAGTAGAATGGCTTAATTCATCCACAAATTTTTCCATTAAGCAATCCCATCATGTGTATTGTGCCTCAACTTTGTTAAAATAAATGGTGTGAAAACAAACCACTGGCGTTTCGATTTCGGGGTGGGTGGTAGTTCTAGGGCCATGGGTTGGTGTGGGGGTGGTGCATGAGACGCAGATAACAATGTGTCGTTGATACGACGTGCGATACATGGGTTCCGAATTGTGTTGTACATTTCCACCGAATTTCACTAGTCAGACGGTAGTTAAAAACTGCTGAGTAGGTAATGTCTGCCATGCGTCGATACACGTCTGTCATCGACGCATCGAGCTGATACAGTGACATACACCCAACAGATTAACGCTGCCTGTATATTTCACAGGAATATCTTTCGATACCTCTAGTCTGATCGTACAATGGAAAATGTGACATTTTTGGCATGTATTAAACCAGTAAGCATTCATCCGTACAGGAGGGTGATTGACAGGATAGCGTACTTCTGTAAGACGAGCATTTCTAGCATACACACACGCAAACACATCGAATGTCTAGCATCTACGTACATACCGTTCGCCCACCGAATGCGACACCACACACCCCATGGTCCCATCAGCACACGTGCGAGCAGCGGTCGCCAGGCGGCGCCCACTCACATACTGGCGCAGCCTGGCTGGAAGCCCAGACTGCGCTGGTTGTACTTGACACGGCAGCTCATCGTGCACCGGAAACAATCCACAATCGTTCGTAAAATGTCGTGTCGCCTAACGCGATCGTCGTTTCAGGTAAACTAACAATTAATTTGCTTAAACCATGGACTACCCATACTATAAGTCTAAGTCTCAGACTTCAGTAGAAACAATGAACTATGTACAATGCCGAGCCATGTGGAATAACTCATACGAATTACGCAGACACTAAAACACTAAAGATGGCCGCGTCTGTGTCCTTCATTTTGGTGTTGCGGTTTGTCTGCTTGCAGTCTTTGCCGTTGAATAGAAGTGCGAATTCTAACGTTTAGAACGTGTAGCCCTGAAACAAAAATAACAAAATAAAACCGATGACAAACCCCATGTCACCTCAATCCCCGAGCATCGGCCGCAAATCGATCACGTTGGGATGAAATATCACTATCTGCATATTTTAAAGGTACAAGCGGGGCATGGAGCTTGCGGTAACCATTACTCATACGTTAAATTGAAATCACATTGATACTTTGTAGTAAGACGAGTTTCATTTCCGTATCTACATATTAGTCAACATAATGGAGAATAAAACCAAAAGAGCTAATAGAGTTTTCTTCTCCATGATAGCGAGACAAAAACTAAAACAACGCCAAATACGCATCCTCATTATCACTGTTTACGAGCCCCCCTCCCGCCACCATGCAGCCACTTACCGTCGTTTTGGCGGGCTGACGGCAGTCGGTGGCTCGGCAGCAGCGCGCTTCCGGCTGCCTCTTGGCGCAGTGGAAGGCTGCTCGGAGGCAGCAGCAGACGGAGTCGCTTTCTGCGCCCGACCACCACGTTTAGTGGTCGGCACATCGGCAGGTACGCTGGGTTCAGTGATGGCCACTCTTCGCGACCGGCCGCCACGTTCCGAGGCTGGCACCTCATCAGTGACATCTGCCTCCTCAGAGGCGACCGCCTTTCGAGACCGGCCACCACGTTTCGGAGCTGGCACCTCGGTCACTTCTGGCTCCGACGCAACCACCTTCTGTGAACGGCCACCGCGTTTAGGGGCTGGTACCTCAGCAACTTCTTCTGATTCAGAAACTGCCTTTCGCGAACGGCCACGTTTCGGGGCCGGAACCTCAGCAGCTACTTCCGGCTCAGAGGTCTTTCGCGAGCGGCCGCGTTTCGGAGCTAGCACTTCACCAACTTCTTCTGGCTCGGACACAACCACCTTCTTTGAGCGGTCGCCACGTTTCGGGGCCGGAACCACAACGACAATCTCTGGCTCAGACTCGACCACCTTTCGCGACCGACCACCACGCTTCGGGGCTGGCACTTCAGCGACCTCTGGCTCAGACGCGACCACCTTCTTTGAGCGGCCAACGCGTTTCGGGGCCGGAACCACAGCGACAACCTCTGGCTCCGACTCTACCACCTTTCGCGATCGACCACCTCGTTTCGGGGCTGGCACCTCAGCCACTTCTGGCTCCGACGCATCCACCTTTTGAGAACGCCCACCGCGTTTCGGAGCTGACACTTCAGCGACCTCAGGCTCAGACGTTGCCGCCTTTCGTGATCGACCACCACGCTTCGGGGCTGACAACTCAGCAACCTCTGGCTCGACCCCCTTTTGTGTGCGGCCACCGCGTTTCGCAGCTGGCACTTCAGCGACCTCAGGCTCAGACGTTGCCGCCTTCCGCGATCGACCACCACGCTTCGCGATTGGCAACTCAGCGACTTCTGGCTCAGACGCAACCGCCTTTCGCGAACGGCCGCGTTTCGGAGCTGACACTTCAACGACTTCTTGCTCAGTCGTAACCTTCTGTGAGCGGCCACCGCGTTTCGGGGTGGGCACCTCAGCAATGACTTCTGGCTCAGAAGCTGCCTTTCGCGAACGACCACGTTTCGGGGCTTGCACTTCAGCGACCTTTGGCTCAGATATTGCCGCCTTTCGCGAACTACCACGTTTCGGGGCCAAAACCTCAGCGACATCCTCTGGCTCAGACAAAGCCGTTTTTCGTGATCGACCACTTCGTTTCGGAGCTGGCCCCTCAGCAACGACTTCCGGCTCAGACGTGACCGCCTTTTGCGAGCGGCCGCGTTTCGGAGCTGGCGCATCAGTGACTTCTGGCTCAGACGCAACAACCGTCTGTGAGCGGCCACCGCGTTTCGGGGTGGGCACCTCAACAATCACTTCTGGCTCAGAAGTTGCCGCTTTTCGCGATCGACCACCACGTTTTGGAGGTGGCACATCCACAACAGCTTCTGGCTCAGACGTTACCGCCTTTCGCGACCGGCCACCACGTTTCGGGGCTGGCTCAACAGCGACTACTTCTGGCTCTGAGACTACTGAAGCTGATGACTTACGAAGACGTTTCGCAGGGGCTGAAGCTTGAGGCTCTGTTGCACTGACTTCATGATTCTCTTGTGTATCAGACTTTGCCTTTTCAGAGCCACGATCACCAGGCAAAGCCTCACCAGCAGCCCGCTTTTTGCCTGGTGACGGCATTTCAGTGACAGCTGGGGAATCGCCCACAACCTCTGGCGTACTGAACAGCCTCTGCACGCCCTCAACGTTCGTTAGATCGTCAAGATGTTGGCCAGCGCGGCGTGGTGTCCTCAGCAATTTCTTCACCCCTGCTACATCCGTGTAGTCGGCCTTCGGAGAGGACACAGTCTTTGGCGTTTTCAGAAGCCTCTTGACGCCTGCGACATTCGTGTAGTCTGCCTTAGGCGACGAAACAGTCGTCGGTGTTCTAAGAAGCCTTTTGACACCTGCGACATTCGTGTAGTCGGCCTTCGGAGATGAGACAGCCGTCGGCGTTTTGAGAAGACTCTTGACACCTGCGACATTCGTGTAGTCGGCCTTCGGAGATGGAGCAGCCCTCGGAGTCTTGAGAAGCCTCTTGACACCTGCCACATTCGTGTAGTCGGCCTTCGGAGATGGAGCAGCCCTCGGAGTCTTGAGAAGCCTCTTGACACCTGCCACATTCGTGTAGTCGGCCTTCGGAGATGAGACAGCCGTCGGCGTTTTGAGAAGCCTCTTGACACCTGCGACATTCGTGTAGTCGGCCTTCGGAGATGGAGCAGCCCTTGGCGTTCTGAGAAGTTTCTTGACACCTGCGACATTCGTATAGTCTGCCTGCGGAGACGCCACAGATGTTGGCGTCTTCAAAAGCCTTTTCACGCCAGCAACCTGTGAATAGTCAGCTTTAGGCGTGCGGGCACTGGCTCTCGGTGTCTTCATCAACTTCTTTACGCCTTCAACGCTTGTGTAGTCGGCACTTGGAGTCGCGGCTTTCCCTCGCGGCGTCTTCATCAAGCCCTTGACTCCCGCAACATCCGTATAGTCTGCCTGAGGAGAAGAAGCGACAACGTTCGGAGTTCTCAACAGCTTCTTTACGCCAGCAACCTGGGTATAGTCAGCCTTAGGCGTTGTTCCAGCAGACTTCGGAGTTCTCATCATCTGTTTGACACCAGACACATTGGTATAATCCGCTTTCCTGCCCGAACGCTTGGGCGTCACCGACTCAACTTCGTCCGGGCCAGGCGCGTCCGGTGTTGCCTGCTCCAACAGCATCGCTCCGATCCTGCCGGGCGTGAGTAGCGGGCGTCGGGGCGTTCCCATCGGCGACACGAACATGTCCTGCGAAATGTCGGGCGTCTGTACGCAATCCATGTCAAAGGTTTTATCCATCGTCGTCGTCATTGACTTGCGGGAGCTGGCTGAAGACCGGCGGGACGGCGGCGACCGGACGGCCGTTAGACTCTTATCTGCCTTCGAGCGCCGCGCAGCAGGTGACTTAGTCGCCTTAGCGGCCGGCCGTGCGGCGGGCGTACGCGGCTTCTTGGCGGACAGCGCCCGTTTGGGTGCCGCCTTGCCGTGCAGTACGTAAGTTGGCGGAGACTGCGCGTGGCCTGTAGTCGGAGAGCCAAACGAGAAACTGCCAGGGACCTCCTGTGAAGAAAGAAAAGCTTGGGTTATACGATAGTGATCATCGAGCTTCGGGATCGTCAGAAAAAGCTAGTTCATGACTCTTGTAGCCGTACTGAATTTTTAGCCCACTGCAACTGTTTGCATACACTCAGTTCGTTCATTTATATGCACCATCAGTCGTTTTCTGCAGCTGAACCAGTGCTGAGTGTTTCTGTGAAACATGAGTTTTCTGTGCCAGTGCTGCCAAATCCTTTCTACGGCTGCTCCTTGGGGGATACTATAGGAGTCCTTCAAGACGATTAGAAGAATCCCTCTGCGGAATAGCTGAGGTTTTCCGTCAAGCTGTGTGTGCAAACGCTACTCATCTAGTAATCTGCGGTGATTTTAACATCAAAGGAATAAATTGGGACCACTCGCTAAGTATACACCAAGCGGGACATGCCTCAGATCAGTTTTTGAAACTAGTTCACGATAACTTTCTTTTCCAGCATGTAGATCAATACACCAGGCATCGCTTAGGCGAGCGATCCGAGATTTTAGATCTCATTTTCACAAACGAAGAGGGCATGGTCACCAATACCGAATACCTTCCAGCTATTGGGCTGAGTGATCATCTTTGCATTTCATTCGACTTGCTGTGCTATACTGAAGAAAAGCGAGACTCAACTCCAAAACCGGATTATAACCGCGCAGATTTCAGAAGAATCGGTCACATCCTTGAGAACACTGACTGGAGAGAAGTGCTGCAGAATAAAAATGTTCAAGAAGCTTGGGATTACTTTAGCGGTCACCTGCAAGCAATCCTCCAAGAGTATGTCCCCTGTCGAAAAACATCGAAAAAGAAGAGGAACATATACATGACTGACTCGGCTCTGCGCTTGAGAAGAAGAAAGGAGAAGCAGTGGAAGCGGTATTTACTCACAGGCCAGCCGCAACACTTTGCCACTTATAGAAAGACTAGGAACGCTCTTAGAGCACTGTCCAGAAAGCTGAAGAAGCAGTTTGAAAACAATCTGGTTTCGCAGATAAAAGAGAAGCCAAAAGCCTTCTGGGCATACGTGAAGACTAAGACGAAGACCCGAGTGACAGTGGAGAGCTTGAACCGGGGAGATGGAACGATCGCAGAAACTGACAGAGAGAAAGCCGAGGTGCTAAATAAGTTCTTTTCAAGCGTATTCACGAAAGAAAATCTCGAGACGATGCCGCAAATTGGTGAAGTTTACGAAGGAGAACCAATTGAAGACATAATCATAACCCCAGCAGCTGTGGCAACGAAACTGGTGTCGCTAAATCCAAGCAAGTCTCCAGGACCTGACATGTTTCACCCACGCGTCTTGAAGGAACTCTCGAGTTCTCTCAGCTTGCCACTTAGCCTGATCTTCCGAAAGTCCCTGGAAAGTGGAATACTGCCAAAACAATGGAAAGAAGCAATTGTTACACCAATTTTTAAAAAAGGAAGTCGCAGAGACCCCGGTAATTATCGACCGATTAGTCTCACGTCCGTTCCAGGAAAGATCATGGAGTCACTGATCAGAGATGCTGTACTAGAACACCTGCTTGGGAATCGATTACTGACAGACGCCCAGTACGGATTTCTTCCAAAGAAGTCGTGTGAGGCGCAACTTCTTACATGCATGGAAGACTGGACGAATATGTTGGAACAAGGGAAACCAGTTGATGTAGTGTATCTAGATTTCAGAAAGGCATTTGATACCGTGCCTCACGAACGACTTTTGAAAAAGCTAGCAGCTTATGGAATCAGAGGGAAGCTACATGTGTGGATGTCAGACTTTTTGAAAGGGAGGCGACAGCGGGTCAATGTTGACGGTGAACTATCAGGGTGGAAAAGCGTGGATAGTGGAATCCCACAAGGTTCAGTGCTGGGGCCTCTGTGTTTCCTTATCTTTGTCAACGATATCCCGTCTGTCGTATCAAAACCACTGAAGTTATTTGCAGACGATACCAAGGTATACGGAGATGTGACATCACAAGAAAATATTGAGGCACTGCAGAGTGATATCGATGCTATTGTGAAGTGGACATCTATATGGCAGCTGCCTCTAAACACAAACAAGTGTCATACTCTGCACCTCGGCCACCGAAATCCAAGGCACACATATCACATAGCAGGGAACATGATCGACGGCGTCACCAATGAAAGGGATCTTGGAGTCGTAGTTGACGAAAAACTTGCCTTTCACGATCAGACGGCAGTAGCAATGAAGAAGGCAAATGCGATTCTGGGGCTGATTCGGAAATCCTTTGATTTTCTTAACTCAAAAGCAATGTCCATGCTGTATAAAGCCTTAGTTCGGCCGATAATTGAATACGGAAATATCGTTTGGGGCCCCACGTACATCGGTGATCAGAAGAAAATTGAAAGAATTCAAAGACGTGCAACCCGACTCGTTCCAGAAATACGCCAACTGTCATACCAGGACAGACTTAAGAAGTTGAACTTGCCAAGTCTGGTCTACAGGAGAAAAAGAGGTGACATGCTCACTATGTATAAAATCATGACTGGCAAAATGCAGATGGACCCATTGTTTGAGCCCGTAGCAGGAGAGCATCGCACCAGGGGACACCAGCTGCGACTCAGGAAACCCTTAGCTGTCAAAACAGTGAGACGTCATCATCTGGGAGTTAGAGCAATTGACGACTGGAATAGCTTACCGCAAGATGTGGTGACTGCGCCGTCCTTGAATTCGTTTAAATCAAGTCTGGATCAGTTTTGGTGCGAGAAGTGGTATGAACTGGAATGGCGACGCTGTTAACTGAAGAGGTCATATTTCAAGCCCACTGATATTCAACGTAGACGCAAGTCCGGACTGAGATAAACACATGGCCTATTCAAAACAAAACTACGTATGGGAGCTACAGGCCTCATGAAGAGGCCTCACTTCCTGAAATCCTTCAAAGTCAAAAGTCAAAGTCAAAGTCAAAGGCATTTATAAGATTGGGCCTAGTGATCTGACCCGAAACAATGCTGGCAGGGTTGTGCTCGACTAAAAAAAAAATTGCCGACTCGACTCATCATTCAACTTCAGAAAGCCCTGACTCAACTCTGACTCAAAGAAGGAGCTGAATTTTTCCCTTGACTCGACTCATGACTCAAGCGGCTCAATGAAAATGTGAGTCGACTCAAACTTGACTCAAATTTTTTGTTGAGTCAAGTGAGTTGACTCAAAATTGACTCAGATAAAAAATTGTTGAGCGGGGGGGGGGGGGTAAAAAAAATCAGGCAGCAGGGCAAGGGCTAAGTTATTAAGCGGGGGGGGGGGTGAAAAGCTTATATTATAAATTGTTTCTAGAGAGTTGAGTCAGCTGACTCATGTTCCTAAATGCTTGACTCAGCTCAATGTCAAAAGTTATTTTACTGAGTCAGCTCTGACTCAACTCAACACCTTAATATTTTTGTCCGACTCAACTCTGACTCAACTCAACAGTTCAACATTTTATCCGACTCGACTCAAATCTGACTCATTTGAGTCAGAGTTGAGTCAAATTTCTGACTCGACTCATGAGTCAAGCACAACCCTGAATGCTGGACATGCTAAAAATGAGCCAGGCCAAATTAAAATGATCACAATATTTGCACTGTTGTTTTCGTGAACTTACCGTACTCAACGTGGGTGTTTTGAGAGCTTTCGGTTTCTTGGTTTTCGCCGGAGCCTTCTTGGCAGACTTAGCGAGCTTCATGTATTTGTTCTTTAGATTTTTCTTTAACATATCCGCGTAGGTCAGCTTGAACTTGCGGCTTGGCGTCTTTCCACGGGTGCTTTTCGACGCGGTCTTCGGTGTCTTTGCGTTCTGACGAGGTGTTGCCGGCGTTTTCTTCGCAACATCTAAAACAAAACCGAGATAAAGTCAGAAAAACAACGAAGCACAGCTTCACTAACTACTACAAGCGCATACCAGTACTCTGTCCTACATATAGCCAGCTACTGAAATGTTACATACATGATATTTCGTTAGGTGAGCGAACGATGGCACTATTTATCTTTCAATATCTGTACGGAACAAGACTTAATGAAAGTGTGCAGCGACATCAATCAAATCTCCTTTTATAAAATGAAACGTTCCGAACTGAAGTGAATCTTGATTTGCTTGTTTATTGGGGTTTTTGGGCGCGCCGACCGCAAAGGTCATTTTGGTCAGTTAAAAAAAAAAAACATGTAAAATCACAAACGTATTTCCAGATTACGATAATGGCTGGTGAAATGCACCTCCAATGACATCATAACAAAGGATTCTGTCCAAAAATACATATTTTCTCCATTCACCTTATAACCTTATAAGACAATAAAGGCTACATTGTATATTTTAAACCAAAAAGAGGACTTCATATGTACCGTATCAATGCGCAGATAAGCACTCACCTTTAAGTTTCTTCGCAGTCGAGGCGGCAGGCGTGGCGGATGCTCGCTTCGCGGACCTGGATAGCGCCGTTTTCGACATGGAGACACGTATGGTAGGAGTCTGAGCAGCAGTCCCGGCCTGGCCACTCGAGGCCCGCGAAGTTTTCTTTCCGCTTTTAACGACCAAAGTCGATTCGCTCTTCCTTCTCGGTGTGATCGTTGTTGCCTTAGCAGAGCGCGGTGTAACCTTCGAGGATGTGACAGCCACTGAGCGCCGCTGCATCGACCCTGGTGTCTTAGGAGTGCCTGTCTCCTTGGACATGGACTTCATTGGCGTGCTGCCCCGCTTGGGAGTAGTCGTTTTGGGACTGGCAACTTTACTCGGGGTAACCGACTTGGGACTTTCCGCTGCCTTTCTTGAGGCAGCTGGAGTCTTCTTAGGAGTCGGTGTTTTACTGGCGGGGGTCTTTCCAGGAGACACCGTGCTCTTAGGTGTGTGTACATTTGCAGACATCGGTGTCTTGACAGTTTTCGGCGTGGAAAGCGTCCCCTTCGGACTGCGCGGCGTCACTTTCGACGCCAACAAAGACACCGAACGCCGCTCCACGGAAGCAGGCGACTTTTCTGAGGCGCGCAAGCTCTTGGGAGTAACTGCTTTGGGGCTAGTTAGCCTTTTAGGAGTAAGCATACTAGCTGCACTTGTCACCTTCTTAGGAGTGGGCGTTTTACGGCTGGCTACTACTTTCTTTGGAGTGGCAGTCTTAGGCGTGAGAGCTTTCTTCGAAGTGGACAGCTTAGGAGTCGCTGTCTTTGTAGGAGTGACAGTCTTAGGAGAATTACCCTTCTTCGGAGTAGCATCTTTTATCGGAGTAGTTCCCTTTTTCAGAGTAGTACCCTTGTCCGGAGTAATACCCTTCCTCGGAGTAGTGCCCCTCTTAGGAGTAGTTAACTTCTCCAGAGTAGCACCCTTCTTCGGAGTTGGTGTAGCCAGGATCAGAGACTTCTTCGGAGTTGGTGTTCCCTGGATCGGAGACTTGTTGGGAGTAGGCCTGGTAAGGGAAGTTCCCCTTGGACTCGGTGTGACAAGCACGTCTTTATTGTTGACTACCGTCAACGCGGTAGAGAGGACATCGGCCGTGCTCGCCATCCTGGGGCTGGAGCGCGGCGACGAAGATGGCTTCGCAGGAGATGCCCCTTTACCGGACTTGGGCGTGCTCTGGGGCGACGTTATAGTGGACGTGCCCTTTTGAGCGGGTTCCCTTGGGGACGTTTTCGGTGACGACTTCTTGGGAGTGGCATTCACCGTCGCGCCCAACGTGGCGATCCCCGACTTGGGACTTTGTTTCGGAGACGGGCGTTTGGCCGGAGTGGACGGCTTCGGCGACTTTGACTGCGAGCGTCTCAGTTTGCGCTTGAGGAGGCCTCTGACCGGGGTGTGTACCACGGTGTCCGACTCCTCCATGATGACCGTCTGCCGAACAAAACCCACCACTGGCATTAGACTTTACCAAAGGTGAAAGCAAGTGGAGCGCAAGTTACTATGTAGCGAAGTTCATACATCATAAAAAATACTATTTATTTTTACTACACATACAAATGGTTTAAACAATACTTTCTGCTCCTCTCTTGTAGTTCGTTTGAATTATTGTCACTGCGTAACAAAGGTAAAAGAAAAACCGGGTACGCACTCAGTTTTATGTAACTAGGACCTGCTGGAAAAACTAGCCCGACCTTTTTATTTGTTTGCTTATTGGGAATTTAGGGTACACCGACTAGTGGCCTTTTCGCGCACATATCCCGAACTTTCAAAGGACAGCCCAGATATTCTTGCAGCACTGTATGACATTTATATTTTATGATGATAAATAGTCTAGTTATTATTCTTGTAAAGTCATGTACACAATGATTAGGTTCCAGAACACCATTCGTTTCCAAGGATTATCTCCTTATTTCGTTCACATACTTTTCTAGACTCTTGTAATTTGAATTTTTGAAAGTAAACGGCGAAGTACTTTGACATATAACTATTTATGCATTGTGACAAAGCATTGTCGCATAGCATTATGGCATATATTTGTTTTTAAAGATAACCTCATGCTCAATAATTGCAACATGCGAAAGGTTCCAAAATTAATTAAAAAATGAATATATTTCGGACACGGTCCTTCCTCAGTTCAGAATTGCAAATGCGAGAAAATTAAAAGGCGCCTCTTTTGAACGAGCGTCATTGTAAACACTCAAGTCTCAAACGCCGAATTACAAGCAATCATGACACACTGAACCGGAAAATTGCACCTGCAACTTCTCCTTATGTCCCTGAGGTCATCTCAGGTCACGAATGGTATCTAACAGTTTTCGCTCGTCACTTTTTAGAGCGATGAAACCGCTTTGGCTGTGTTCAGCTCGACGATACGATCGACTGATATGCAGCACGACCTTTTCCGGTCAGGTCATGAGTCATGACCTTGACTTGAGATCAAATTTCAAAGTTGAACTTTCAAGGTCAAATAATAGTTCATTCGATGCGTCTCGTCGGAAAGAAGACGATGTTGGTGAAAGTAAGCTCGTGCAAGCTTTGAGTCAAAAGTTGTTACAAAAAAAAACTCAGTAAAAACGCCTATTTTGGCAGTTTTTTTTGTCCCCTGCATGCTAAACCGTTGACCTAAGGTCAAAGCTGAGGACAGTATTAAAAAATAACGTTAAAAGAGCTTTCGAATGCGCTTTTCCGCAGCGCCACAGCATCTATCCGTTCCTGAGCTATGCGCCCGTTCGTCGAATATTGTCGAAGTTTGACCTGGAAGTCGCCGAAATTTTACCCAGCAAATCGTGCAAATCCAGGAGCCCCAGCGGGGCGTCGGGGCACGGGTCAAGCTCTAACTATATTGCCTTCGATACGATTTTCGATGCCTTCATAGCACAATAACAATACAAATTGCATATGGACCGTCCGAGGTGCAAATACAGGGTGTCTCATAAGTTCGTTCTCACATTATATTTGCATGTGAAACAGAGTACATTGCGTCTTGATATATTTGTGACCCCTCAATGTGCTCCCCATTTAATAGGCAAACACATGAACACATGCTGCGGAATGCCAACCGGCATGTTTGGCTGCATAGCAGGCTTAAAGTTAATCCAGACTGACTTGACATGCGTCGTGAGCTCCTCGAGGCTGGAACAGCGCTACGCTTCGACGAGCCTAATTTTCAGCATAACCAACAAATTTTTTTGAAATTCTGACCCGATGAGGTGCCTGGCATGTGGTTTTGCCACAAACGCCTGTCACAGTCTCCTTGCACCGCTTTTAAGCTTTGCTTGACCTGTGCACTGATGCACTGTCTTGCCTGAAGATGGGCCTACGACCTCTCGGATGCCATTTTCTCCTCTATAAATGTGTTCATACTCGCGGTTCGAGTTCAGCTTGAGGGTTGAAACTCCTCCTAGATGTTCTTGGAAAAGCATTATGCTTCCCAAAGCTGTTTCTGGGACACCAATCGCAACCTGGTCAGCGTCTGGACGCTTATAACCCCACAATACCGTGACCTTGGCCTTTCGCATAGGAACATAACGGGACGAAAAGGAGGCCTCCTCCTCCTTCGCCCTTATGGGGTTGTTTTCGGGTTTGGACGGGTGTTTCATCTCGAACGTGGACTAGTTAGTCCAGATGACCTGGTTGATGTCCTCAGCCCTTTAGTTTTTTTAGCCTCAGGCGTAACGAAACTCATGTTTGGCCATTTTAAGACGTTTTTGACTGTTTTGAGCCCTCCGGTAAGCAAAGCTTAAGTCACCTTGAGTTATGTACCCCGAAAGAACACTCTTAGACAGCTGGTAATCCATCCTGAAAAGTCTGCTTACCAACTTTCTAACCCTTTGACCTTTTTGATGGCCACTTTGGCGCCACACAGTTTTGGCCGCATGGCTCACTCCTGAGAGCTGACAAAAAAGAGGATAAACTTGCAATGATTGACTCCCGACAAATCATCGGTGTCACTTGCTGACTGTGCGTCCAGTTAGCGATGGACATTGTCTACAGACTGGTAGGCCTCAATCACCCTCAATCAGTGTCCCAAAATTTGCCAGTTTGGGTGGGAAGTAACATCCAAATCAAAATAATTTTCCACTCCCACCTCCAATTTTCCAGAGCGATTTTTCACTCCCTAGTTTACCAATTAAGAGCATCTGCGTGCACCAGCTTGTACCTCCTTCCATATCTGATTCAATGATCTTTTGAGGCAGCTCCCACATCCTCCAACACTCACAAATTAATTGTTGATATATGTTTTCTGCTCTTTTTTGTACTTTTCTAACTGGCAATTTTCCACTCTCAGCCCTCTTTATAGTGACGAATATTCCCCTCTGACGCCCAAGCCAAAATATAATTTTGGGACACTGCCCTCAATCGTCGCGAATGGTCACGTGCTGACTAAATACCGAGACGTACCCGTATTGGAGACCTCTATGTTGCGGCGTTAGCCGTCTGTGTAGGAAACGGGCTCTCTAGCAAAACTATTTTGTCTACAGAAATTAGTTACTTTGGAGCATATTTCTACCAGCCATGGCAACCACGTAAGCCCAGTAACGAACCAATTCCAGCGTGCCTTTAAGCAAGAGAGCCTAAAAACGTAAAATTTAGGTGAGAACGAACTAATGGGACACCCTGTAAATCGTACCTACCTGGATCATAGGTCAGTTTTGCCGACAGAAATCTGGCCGGCTGAGAGTATTTTTAGACTGAAGCCGCCCACGTGTTTCGTGAAACGCTGATGTGAAAAAAATACCAGCCTTCATAAATGATATTTTCACATCAGCAGTTGTTTTTCCGCGCGGTTGGTGAAACTTGTGGACGAAATTAACGGCTAAATATAATCAAAGTCGGCGTTATTTCTGTTGGCAAAACTGGCCTGAGGCCAGCCAGGCGCGGCTGGTCGGGTCCGGGAGCCAGCCACCGCTCCAGTCGGCCACCCACCTGCACCAGCGGAGTGTGAGTCGACAGGCGGCCGCCCTTCTTGACCGGCGTCGACGGCGGCAGCTTCCGGTTGAACTGCTCCGGACTCAGCATCGGACCGAACGAGACCCGCTTCCGTTTGGCCTCGCTGGCGCCCAGCACCGAGAGCACCTCCTCCGAGTGAATTCGTTTGAGAGGCCGCCCGCCTACAGGAGACGAGGTGTTCCATTAGGAAACGGTGGAGTCTATCGACTCTAGCTTTTTTCACGCTGGGTCAAGCTAAAGTAAAGTTTTCTCACTAAACATGTCTTCTCTTACCATCGAGTTGCTTTGAATAAAAGATACCATCACGCACCTACCAGATTGAGAAACATTTCAGCCACCTGATATCTATAGTCACCTTGTGTTCTTAAAATGTCAGGAGGGACAAAAACGAATGGAAATTCCGTTTACATACATGCTGTGTCGATCAGAAACGCGTGTCAGTACGTCATGCAAATCATTCCGCGATTTCTTGCATTGACCGCTAGGAAAGTGTTAATAGTAATCGTTCATTTTCAATATCGCCAATATCCGTGCTTCAGAAACAACACAAAAAATGACACATTAACTATCGATTAGTCAAAACTGATAACTGAGAATACGCTAAATAGTTCATCTAGAACACATTAAAAGTAATTAACTTGCCATAGTGCTGCTTAAACAACGACGTCGAAATGATCTGAATACCGGAATGCCATTTGAGTAACTAATTGACGAAATAACGGAATGTCTCCCCGCAATGTGAACTGACTTTGTTATTTCGTTCGAAAGCTGTCGAGAATCACTGAATGGAAACAAATTTAATTGTTGTAAGCATGTATTATGCTAAAATGACAAGAGTCAATTTGTACTTGGCTTCGATGTTTCCATGCTTAGGCACCATATTTAAATCAGTATCACATGTTTCCATACAGTGACCCTCAACAGCTCCGTCGCAGAGTCGTCACTCGGCAGAGCTAGGATTTCGCAGCGACAAAGTCGTATCAAGCCTGAGTATCTCATAATTATAGCGGGTATCTCAGATCGTACTGGTAGCTCCATTTAACTCGGTGGGAGCAGTCGAGTGTCAGACGTTATTCACAGATCGTCTCAGGGTATTTCGTGCCCGTCACCTGTCGGGCTGTCAGGCGCGGTCCAGGTGGATTACGAGACCGTTTGGCCGGCGGGCACAAAAAGTGATCAGCGCTGCCGCCGCCACCACCCCGAGGCCCAGCCAGAGCAGGCCGTTACCTTCAGCGGAGCCGGGCGCCGCCTGGCCGGCCGTGTCGCCGTTGCCGCTGCCCGGGTCGTTTTCCTTCTCGCCGGCGGCGGCGGGCCGCGGTCGTGCGCCGCTGCTGCGGCGTCTGGTCGGAGTCGGCAGCTGCTCGCCGGCACCGGTGGCCGGCAGCTCCAGCGGCGAGCCCTCCGGGTACGTCCAGCGGAACGTCCGCTCGCCCACGGTGAACAGGTCGCCGTGGCGCAGCGGCCGCGGCTGGTCCAGCTCCACCACCTCGCCGTTCACCAGCGGCGGGTTGGTGCTCGACAGCGTTGCTAGCCTTGCCTGTAACAGAACACACAAACACACACGTTCATACTAACAGGCGACATTGTTGACGGTACGAAAGTATCTCCGCCACTATCCAGCAAGCCACTGTCAATATATTAACCCGCGCCCCGCTGGGCTATTCACTTCAGCCATATGCGCCCTGCTGGGGGGGGGGGGGCAGATTCTGCCCCCCCCCCTGTCTAACTTCCGAACCGATGGTCGTAGAAAGACGGGGACGACGGCAATCGAAAGCTCTCAACAAGGCGGATCTAAATTGCCCTTTTATTTTTGCTTTAGCAGGTCAGAGGTCAGGTCCAGGTCAGGTCAAGGGTACAAAATGCAAGTTTCTACAGTATCGGCCTTGCACTGTAGTTGCCGAAGAATGGACTGAGACCGATTGCCCAAAACGTGTTCTTAGGCTACCAAGACAATATTCGTTGCATACAATAGGTATCATGCAAAGGTCAAGGTCAGGTCAGGTCACCAAAAACGAAATATAGAAAACGACACGTGCGACAATGTCTTATGGGTCATTTTATTCATAGAATTCAATAGGCACACTCAATGAGTGATATGGACCACATCTGGATGAATTTCAGGTCGAGTTCAGGTCAAGGTCAGGTCAAGTGAGGTCAAATTTTGAAGTTGGTTGTTAAGGCCTAAAATGTGTATATCTGATGGAGTTTTTCACGGCGAATCGAATGATGCTATTTTTGTTTCCGTTCGAGGTCTAGAACTTCCAAAAATTTATGTTTCAAAAATTTTGTGTGTCGTGACGTCATAAAATTTTGAATAACTCCCACATTTTTTAACCGATTCTTCTAAAAATTGGTATGTAGGTGTACATAGACCACTTCTCTGACATATATTCCGGTTTTTTCGATACACTCAAAACTTTGGATTTTATAATTATTTTCCCAAATATCAGTTTTCTGAAGAAAAAAATGTGGGCCAAAATCCAAAATTTTCAAAAAAACGAGATATCCATTTGATAGACAAAGTAAAATCACGTATAACCTTTTTTGTTACGTCTTGATTCCTTTAAAAAAGATGTTAGCGGCGTTTGAAATTTTGCCGTGCTCGAGGCGAAAATGGCGAGGACGTCACTAAAATACCATTTTCTCAAACAATTTCCGACGGATTTCGCTCAAATTTTTAGGGAACGTGTCAAATTGATGTATGATGAGGTACTGAGAGTTTGACGTCGCTGGCGTAACGCGTTTAGAAGTTATTGACGAAAAAGGGGAGGGGGCAGATTCTGCCCTCTCCCCCTCCCCAGCGGGGCGCGGGTTAACCTTCCAGGCGGTGGGGGGGGGGCATTTTTTTGCCCCCCCCCTTTACTTTTTTCGATATATCTCGAGAACCGCTGCGCCGATCGTCACCAAACTTTCAGTACCCTCCCGGGAGCAGCTAGCGCACATGGTGACCAAAAATTTTTTCCAAAGGCTATGATAGGTTGGCCGCTAATGACGTAAGAGTGACGTCATTTTTGCCATTTTCGACCCAAAAAAAGGTTTCGCGGGAAGAGCTGTCAGGCCTACAGCTTTAGAGATACAGAAAAATGTTTTTGACATAAAAGGTGTGGAATCAAAAGGGCTACAAAACTGCTATTTCGGTTTTTCGAATTTTTTGGATTTTGACCCCCAAAAATCAAAAAATAGATTTTTTGAATATAATAGCCAAAAAATCCAAAAAGTTTTTTGAATTTCGAAAAAACCGGAATATATGTAATAGTCCCTATCGCCTTCTATCTACATACCGAATTTGAGATCGATACCTCGTTTTTTGGCCAAGTTATAGCGAAAAAACTGTTCAAAATTGATGACGTCAAATTTTCAAACTCAATTTTTAGCAATTCTAGACCTCGTAGCGCAAAACAAAGACCACCATTAGACTCCCCGTGACAAGCTGCATCGAATCGATACCCATTTTATGCAAAAATATCAACTTTGAAATTTGAGCTTTTTTGACCTGACCTTGACCTGACCTCCACCAGAAAGTGACCTAAACCGTACCTGATGGTCTTATAACCAACACCATTGAGTTGGAAATGAAAAACTGGCCATAAAACATGCATCACATCACCTTAGTAAAGTTGGGCTCATGTGGTGACCCTTGGTGACCTTTGGTGACCTGACCTGTGACCTGACCTGGTATGACCAGTGACCTCTAATAGCAACATATGTACTAGACAACTGACGCCTTATCGCTGATTTTCGACAAAATGCGTTTTACTCGGTGTTATAGCGCTTTCCCTAGAAGCCCTGTGAACGGTGAAACATTTTATCTTTGACCTGACCTGTGACGTCATCGGTGACCCCGAGGTCAATGAAATTTGGTTTCCCTCGACAAATTTGACAGGGCTATCGAACGCCGTTTGAATTTTCCGGATCCGTCCAGTAGTTTCGGAGATACGGGGGGGGGCAAAAAAGTGCCCCCCCCCCCCCACCGCGTGGAAGGTGGCTGGTAGGCCCACCGCCTGCCGGGTTAACACGCGCAGTGGAAGGGGGGGGGGGATTTCGCCCACCCCTCCTGTTTTTCGCCAATAACTCGCGCCGCAAACATAATATTAATGTGGAACTTCGGCTACCTGTCCAGAATTGAATTGCAGATCTTCTCGTCATCGTGCAAGAAATAAGAAAATCGGTTCACAACTTTTCTAGTAATAGCGGTGTAAAGTAAAACATCTTGCAGTTTTTGTAATGCCAGAACATTACCGCAGTAGAACTTTGTGCTAACAGTTGTCTTAAGCCATCATATAAAGCTGAATGAGTGCACCGTGGCTCAAAATGTCTCGCAATTTGATTTTCGATGGGTGCCTGGCAGGGATGCGGAGCCGTGGAACTTTCAGACGGCTCCGGCTCCGGAGAAAAATATCGCCTCCGCTTCCGGATGAATTGCAATGGCGGCTCCCGCTCCGAGTAAAATGGTCCGGCTCCGGCTCCTACTCAGTATATCCCCTATGCCATTAATTAACCCTCGCTGGAACTATTGGTTTTCTTCGTTCATTAGGGTTTACGGGCGCGTCGACTGCGGTGGTCATTTTACGCCCACTATTGGTTTTCTAAATACGTGCCGGTCGAGGGGGCGGGGCGGGTACAGCCCTCTCGCCGTTCCGTTTCGCCCTTGGTTGAGCTAGCGCGTCGCGGAAAAAAACGAGCGTGTGCGCCGTTACCAAACGCAGAGATTGACGCCGGATTTTAGCATCCTGGGTCAACCAGTGACGTCTGAGGTCAGGTCAAGTGCCCCAAGGTACGGTTCCGTTTTTGGTGAATAACCTCGCAAAGAAATGGCTGCAGAGCCGCGGTTTTGGCAGCATCGTGTTCGCCTCACACAGGCGAGTCGAATGATATACTTTTTGTTTGGGTGAGGTCAACTTTGGTTGTTGACCTCGGGTCACGGTCAAGTCAACGCCCCCAGGTCACGAAATTGGTCGAAGAAGATCATGTCGCATGCCATTCGATTCGGCAGGTCTTCCTGAGTCCATTAAGGCTTTCCCGACTCGCTAGCTCAATTTCATCGGCAGTTATTGACGAAAAAACTAATACCATCCAAATGACGGCATAAATGACGTCACCCAAGGTCAAAATTGCAAAAGTGACGCATGGAACCAGGGTTGTGCTCGACTCAAAAAATTTGCCGACTCGACTCATCATTCAACTTCAGAATGCCCTGACTCAACTCTGACTCAAACAAGGAGCTGATTTTTTCCCTGACTCGACTCATGACTCAAGCGGCTCAATGAAAATATGAGTTGACTCAAACTTGACTCAAATTTTTTGTTGAGTCAAGTGTGTTGACTCAAAATTGACTCAGATAAAAAAGTTGTTGAGCGGGGGGGGGGTTGAAAAAAATCCGGCAGCAGGGCCAGGCCTAAGTTGTTAACCCTATTCCTGGCGGGCTCCGCCGGGACAAGAAACTGGCGGGGGGGCCGATTCGGCCCCCCCTCAGATCTCAAAAACTACACATCGCAGCGACAAACGGTAAACGGCATCGGATACGCACGGTCAAGATCTACAATTTTTACCAAGGTCATTTTCAGGTCAGGTCAAAGATGACGTCACAGGGGTCGAAAAAGTCAAAATGGCGGCGCTAGATATGGAGAGAGTTTTTCTCGAATAACTTTCGAATTAGTCAAGATAGGAACAAACTAAGGGCATCATCGTCATCCTCTCGTCAATCCGCATCGAATGATATATATGTTGACCTCGAAAGGTCAAGGTCAAAGGTTGACCTCAGGTCACGTGACCTCGAGGTCATCATGTATATCATTCGATGCGTCTTGACGAGCTGAACACAATGAGACCATCCACGCGTCTGTATCTTGTTCCTGTACGGAGTTATTGGCCAAAAACCTTTGGTGACCTTTGATGACGTCACATGACCTCACAGCTGCCCAACAGCAAAACAGACCTCAAGGTAGTGAAGGTTGATCGTATATGAAGTCATGTATGGTATATGGGGCCATTCCGACCCGTTTTAGTTGTAAAAACAGGGAGTTGATTTTTCCCCCATTGACTTATAATGGGGAGGTCGCGAAACTGACCTGACCTTAGGTCACCGATATCAAAATTCCGAGATATACAAATTGCACATACTGGTACCCTAACCAAAGCCTGAAGAGAAGAAATTGATCGGTCAAAAACTCTAGCTTTGGCGTGATTGCAAACTTTTCTGAGGTAGGGTCACCAAACCGCCTCTGGTGACCTGACCTGAGGTCAGATCAACTCAAATTTTCAGACATGTTGCGTAGAAGCCTTTTAGGAAAAGTCAGAAAATTTGAGCTTCCTAGCTCAACGCGTTTGGGAGAAATAACCAAAAAACCTCAGGGGGGGGGGCTCCTGAGGCCCCCCCCCCCGCCAGGAATAGGGTTAAGCGGGGGAGAATGAAAAACTTATACAATATATTGTTTCTAGAAAGTTGAGTCAGCTGACTCATGTTCCTAAATGTTTTTGACTCAACTCAATGTCAAAAGTTATTTTACTGACTCAACTCTGACTCAACTCAACAGCTCAACATTTTATCCGACTCGACTCAAATCTGACTCATTTGAGTCAGAGTTAAGTCAAATTTCTGACTCGACTCATGAGTCAAGCACAACCCTGCATGGAACCTTGCAAAGAGTGCACGAAATCACGATTCTGTGTGCTTGAGATAGTTGAAGATCGTTCCCGGTGCCAGAAGAGCAGTTTTCATTTTTCCCCATTGACTTTAGTTGAGTGAGTTCACGAAAATGACCTGACCTCATATGACCTTTAGGAAAAATGCGAGATTTACAAGTTAAGAGACTCCTAATGAATACTAGGTCCTGCAAGTTTCATTTCCCTGTGAAAGCTCCTCTGGCAGTGAGGGCGTTGCGAAGTTGCGACATCTGAAGACCGTGCAGAGGTTCACTTATGACGTCATAGGTCAGTGACCTGACCTGACCCGAAAATGCAGTTGGTGTCAAAAGATCCGGCTGGAATCAAAGGTCAGGTCTGCCAAGTTTCAGCTCTCTATCGCAGGCGTGTTTGGAGCTATCGTGAAAAAAAAACATACGGGGGGAGGGGGGTCGGCACCCGCCACCCCTTGGCCGGCAAGGGTTAAAAATGGGTGGTAGAAAAAAGGCGATTGGAATTGGATTGGTGCACGCTGCTTCTGTATTTGCATAACAAGGCTATTTTGAATACCACATGTTTTACTGCCTGGTAGGTACTGTCAAACCGAACTAGGTCAATATTTTTTTTCCTCTTCAATAAAAGAGCCGGAGCCGCCCCTTTTTTGACGGCTCCGGGCTATATTGGGCCGCCTGTTCCAGCGCCTCCAGAAACCTCCAGAAAGCTCTAGAATCCTCCAGAGAGCGTTCCAGCGCCTCCAGAAAGCTCACACCAAAGCTCCAGAAACCTCTAGTAGCCTCCATAGAGTTGCTAGGTCCACATTTCTCTGGAGGCTCTGGTCTACAGTTTTGGCGCACATGTGACAATTACGAATGTAATCAAAGGACTTTTGACTGTTATTTTACAATTTGAATGCAAGGGAAAACACATTATTATAATTTTGCAAATATTTCATCCCAAAATCAAAAACAAATTTTGTTTTTCAAGAGTCAACCATCTTCATTCTTTTGGTATCCGTGACACAAATCTCCAGATTGCGTTCCAGCAACTCCAGTAAAACTTCTGGTAGAGCCTCCAGTCAAGAATTTCTACCGAAGGCGCTGGGACAGGCCCAATGGCCAATGTTTCACGGCTCCGGCTCCGGCTCGGGGCAAAATATGCCGGCTCCGGCTCCGCACCCCTGCCTGGCCGTCTTCACTGTTGGGGTGTTGTAGCCATATGACGTCCACACACGCCTTTTTCGAGCGGTTCAAATGACGGAATACCTTTGTTAGACCACTGCAGATGAGCTGCTGAAGCTCTCCAGCAAGACATGCCGAAAGTCCGTTTGCAAAGTTGAGAACGGGAATTGATTCACCATGGTTGCCTTTTAGTGGATTAAGCTGAAAACGGACTTTACTCTTACCTGACTCTGGATAATAATTGACTCGAGTCGAGACCGGTCACCAAAAGCACACAGTCCCCAACATCGATAGCTAAGGAATATCTTATAAAAGTATGATGCTTGTATATCACTAGCATCGAGCGCACCGTAATTTTAGCCAGAAAATAAATGTTCGGGTGATTCTGGGACACCCTGTAGGTGCCAAATTTTCCCAGATCGAACTTCAACATCACTAAACCCATGACAAGGGCGTACAGTAAGTATAATAACACCGCACAATAAATCAGCCAACAGCAGGCGTTTCGTCTGACTGACCTGTCCGTCTGGCCCGACGTCGACGCGGCAGTGGTGTCGGGACACGGTGGGCAGCTGGACGCGCACATCGCAGTCCGAGTGGCGGCCGATGATGCACGAGTCGGTCACTAGCGGGAACGACGAGCCCTCGGCACCGGTCCGCCGTACCACCACGACGAAACCGTGCGCCATCTCAGAAAGCCCGGTTCACCTGCAAACAGGCAAGTTGTGCAGTAAATGGTTAAAACGAACAAAAGTATTTCATGACCATTCAACATAAACTGACAGTAAAAAATTATGAATAAAGATTGTAAGAAGTTTGTGCTAGAGGTAAGAAATTTAGAAAGGCAATGCTGAATTGTACTGAGGCTGCAGTCTGCATAATGGAAATAGACTGCAAAGCATAGCCATTTCAGGGACTGAATAGCACAAGAGCACTCAACTGTAATACAGCCACAGACACAGTGCAACTTTACCAAAGGAAGTGCAGGCCCCAATGTGCTACTGAGCTGAACTGCTGCACTAGCACATCTTTGTAAAAGGAAATGACAATTTATAAGTGTTGGTGTCATTGGTAATGGTGAGAGATGGTGTGGACTGTGGAGTTCCAGCCTGGTTGATTTCAGCTGGTGAAGATAAATTACCCTAATTGGTGTGTCTCAATGACCCCATTGCCATGCTTTGCAGTCTGGACCACAGCCTCCTCAGGCTGGTGCATGTTACCTATCTTTTACATATTCCTTGCATTAACCCTCGCACCGACGGGGGGGCGGATATCCCCCCCCCCCCTGAGGTTTTTCGCGAATTGCGGGAAAACCGCGGCGCGTAGCGCCGCGAAATTTAGTATGACTATAACCTCATCAATTTTACACATGGTGTGCAAGTTTGAACCTCCTACCTTTTAAGGTCAGGTCACCAGGTCACTTTGAATGACCCAACCTCAAGTCACTTTTTTTGCAACTTTGTCACCGTGCCAGAGCTACAGTAGATGTCGGAGGCCTAGGAAAGTCGCAGGATATTATTAGGTCATTAGTAGCTACAATTTGTATATCTCGGAATTTTGATATCGGTGACCTAAGGTCAGGTCAATTTCGCGACCTCCCCATTATAAGTCAATGGGGGAAAAATCAACTCCCTGTTTTTACCACTAAAACGGGTCGGAACGGCCCCATATACCATACATGACTTCATATACGATCAACCTTCACTACCTTGAGGTCTGTTTTGCTGTTGGGCAGCTGTGAGGTCATGTGACGTCATCAAAGGTCACCAAAGGTTTTTGGCCAATAACTCCGTACAGGAACAAGATACAGACGCGTGGATGGTCTCATTGTGTTCAGCTCGTCAAGACGCATCGAATGATATACATGATGACCTCGAGGTCACGTGACCTGAGGTCAACCTTTGACCTTGACCTTTCGAGGTCAACATATATATCATTCGATGCGGATTGACGAGAGGATCACGATGATGCCCTTAGTTTGTTCCTATCTTGACTAATTCGAAAGTTATTCGAGAAAAACTCTCCAAATCTAGCGCCACCATTTTGACTTTTTCGACCCCTGTGACGTCATCTTTGACCTGACCTGAAAATGACCTTAGTAAAAATTGTAGATCTTGGCCGTGCGTATCCAATGCCGTTTACCGCTTGTCGCTATTTTGTTTCGTTCTCGAGATCTCAGGGGGGCGGTCATCCCCCCCGTCGGTCAAAGTTGGCGCAGACCCCCGTCGGTGCGCGGGTTAACATATCAGACATGCTATATGACCAGACTGCAAGGCATGGCTGAGAGCTAGAAAATCACATCAGCCATGGTGTAACAAGTCCCCACCAGCATGCCAACCTAGGTGAAATTGCCCTTTTGCACCCTCGGCTCAAATTGAATAAGAGGGGGTTGGGTTTTGTGGTGTGTCCAACCTCTGAGGGTTATACAACAAATTGAATAAGAATATGGTCATTTATCATATGATCATTTAATCCTAGCAAAATTGGGTACATTACAAGCAGAAATTAAACCAGATCTAACCTGACCTAACCTTAACTAACATAACATAACCTTACCTAACTTAGTGTGTGACTAGATGTAACAGTAGGTACCAGTACCTTTTAAACGTGCTGTGTATAGTATCATTAGCATCATTGTATGATCCCACTTTTCAACATTAAAAGGATGTGTAATTTTTTCATGCTTGTTTTGTGAAATTCTTCAGTTTTTAAAGGGTGCATAACAATAAAGAGGAAATCACCCCAACCAGGCTGGATATCAGCATTAGCCCACACCAAACAAAATAAATTTTACCACTGTGAGGAGAATTATTTGATACTGGTGACAACCTCAATGAAAGGCTACATAGGTTTTACCAACCACCACAGTTGGGCAAACTAGACCTTTGGAATCAAAATATGGAGGCATGAAAAGATTGATTCTTTTTGGGCATAAATGCAGACCATTTCTAACTTACCAATCACATAAAAATAAGAGAGTGTTTCAAGAAGGAGCATGCCTGATCTTGAACAGGAATGCTTGAACTATCTCCTAAGCAAAATAATATTGCTCCTATCATAACAATTTGAATTCTATAGGTAGTGAAACGCAATCAAGGAATTGATTCACTTTAAACAGATAATCATAATATTGATTCCCCATCAGCTGGCTAATCATTATTTTGATTCACAGGTAATGTTAACAGATAGGCAACAATGACTTGCAAGAATACAGCATTTATCTTGCTATTATTCTCATTTAGTGGTATCCTCAGCACCACAACTGATACCTATAGCATTGTTGTACTTTACCTTCACTACATTTGATAACAATTCACAATTTTTAAATGTCAATAATACAAAAACTGAAGCAACAGGTAAAAACCATATAAATAATATAAAAGCACTACAACAATGATAATTAGGGGTTTAAAAATTTCATTTTGCCATTTTACACAAATACTGATTGGTTAGTATGTGATTCATGATACAAAAATAACATACAGTGTGATTTCCTCAAAACAGCTTTTACGTGATGGACAGTGGCTCTGTCTTTTTCCCATTCACAAGGCCAAAGGGACAATTTCTTAGCTTTAAGGTAACACTTTTTGCAAACCTACCACATTTTTCTACCATTTAAAAGAAAAATCTCACCGTCATGGGCCTTTTTTCAACCGTAACGATTCATTTGAAGTCAAAAGTGTACCCAAATGAATCAAAAAATTGATTCCATGCCCATATTTGGTCATGGCTCCTCCCACCAGAATCAAATTATTGATGCCTCCATATTTTGATTCCAAAAGTCTAGTTTGCCCAACTGACCAAGTGCATCATTTTGGAAAGTGCTGTGGAAGCTGCCAGTGCAGCAATTTAGAACATGGCCTAATTAGAATCTGTACCACTCCAGAAAAAATCAACTGCACTACAGCAAATCTACAACACACCACACATCAGCTGAATATCCCAGTGACATGATTTTATCAACATTGCCACATACCTACCTACACACTAGCCGAGCAGTGCGCCAGTGCGGAAAGTATGGATTGCCAATGACTGATAACTTGATAAAAAAGTTTAACTAGGTAGGCATATTAAAATCTATTTAACTCAGCCTTAGCGCAGAGATAAGTGAACGGTTGAATGAAGAGTTTTAATCAAAATTGAAAAGCTGGCAATCCTGACGACACAGGTCAATTCGATGTTTACATAACAGCTTCATCTTCATGCATATTTATCCATCAAAGTAAGGTGAAGGGCAAAATAATGTCATCACTCACCTTACGACTTACGAGGACAGGAGAAGGATAATTAAAAAAGACAATATAAAACAAATATCACATAATCATCCAACTGCGCGCGCGCCACTTTTCAAACTGAATTTCAAAAAGTTTTTATAGATGTTTGGTGGCGTAGCGTAATGAAAGTAGTTTAGGTTTAACTAATTTTGTTTTTTATCTTTTGTCTTGACAAACTATCAATTATGCACTTCTTTGATATAAATCATTTATTTCATTCAATTTGCTAGTAAAATTACTAATTTTGTTTTTTTCCTTTTAAATATATTGAAGCAAGTTTAAGGGAGTTCTTCCGCGTATAGTGATGGACTAGTGAAAAGTGTATGTATTTGACTTAGGAGGTGGCACTGGTAAAAACTGAATTAAGTACTGAGATTCGTCAAATCAGTTTTAAATTTTTTTTTCTGAAAAAATATCATATGTTTCTTGTGCTTTACGCGCAGGCCACAAGCGAATTTGTTTTGACATAAAATAGTACTTTTATCATCCCAGTACTTCTTTCCCAGTACCACCCCAATACTAAGCACGAAGTTGATTATAAAATAATTTGAATAGATACCATCAGTGCACACAACTATGAATTTTTCAGGAAATTTGCATTTGACTGGATATTTTACGCTTCTTGTATCTATGCCCTAAATGTGCCGGTGTTTACTGTTTTTTAATTAGTACTATCATTTTTCAAGTAAATGACGCAGCAAATACAGTTGTTGCGCGTAACAAAAAAATATCCACATGGGGATAATTGCAAAATTGCAATTTGGGAGATTTAGGCTATCGAGAATTATTGCTAACGGAATTAAGTGTTGCCAGGCACCTATATAGAACTCTATGTTTTTGACTAATACCCGCGAAGATATCAGTATTGATGGCATTTGATTTGTTTTAAGCGTAACTAGACCAGGACAGGGCGCAACAGTGTGACGCCTTCTTTACGAGTTACGACTACCCACTTATTTTGATTTGATTTGTATGCCGAGGGTAACTCAAATTCAAATTGAGGTAAGTAGGGTAGTTAGCAATGTAAGGTGAAGATCAGTAGGCGGAACTATGGTCAAGCGTACCCATTTTCGGGAACGCATTATCGTTCCCATGTTTGGGAACGATAAACCCAAATATGGGAACGCCATGTAGGCATTATTTAAAACAAGAAAAAGAACCGTTAAATGACGTCCAAAAAATATAAAACGATCGTGAACCGCCTGATATTTGCCTCAATATTGTTGGGAAAGAGTTTGATATTGTAAGGCCCATCGTAGTTTCAAATCGTTCCCCTATTTCTAAAGCAGTCCATCATCCGGGCCGCGAGCCCAAATTTGGGAACGCTCTCGTACACTGGCGCTGCAAGCGTTCCTTATTATGGGAACGGCGTACCCAAAATTGGGAACGATTTCACCGACGCCTTTCAGAGGCTCTTTTCATTAACAAGCATCACGTCCAACGCCGCAAATTATTGTTAACGCAACAATCATCAGATGACCTTTCCGGCAAGACCGTTGCATGTTTCGCCCGGTCTTCTGCGCTTTTATTCCCGTCGATCTCGCAGCGGGCACTCCCCCCTCTGCAGGATTACGTAATTCACGACGCTCAGCGATGTTCAACAAGGTCTTCCATACCTATATCCACCGTCCGCGCCGAGGGTGGAGACATGTCAAGCACCTGTCTGTTATCACCGATAGTTGACGAGCACAAGGAAGTATCCAAAAATGGGAACGCTGAATATGTTACACCCTCAAAACACCTAGTCCCAATGAAAATCTAGTTTTTTCCTTTCTTGACGAGTGTAAGTGGCAAAAGGCATGGTAGGATGGGCACGAGGAATGATCGAAATCAGCATAGAAATTATAAATAAGCCACACAGAGCGACCTATATAAGAGAAATTCCCCCAAAACGATCACGCTTAGAAACACGGAAGACAAAAACCACGCTCATGACGCTCCTTATAAAACAACTCTAAACAGTTAGCATCCAAATGAAATATGTCTTTCTGGGATGATAAAATACAGCTGAATAATTTTAAACCACTAGAACTGAGTTTACAACAGTAGTTCGGTAAAATCACTGACGTTCCATGCGGTCGTGCGCCCCGACACCAAATGTCACCAATATTACCCCCGGACTGTCCGCGTGTTCGCTTGCATATGTCAGCTTTTGGTGTCGCTAGTATGAAACTTCATAACCAGGCGAAAATTATTATACTTGACCTCAAAATGTAAAAAAACGCTTCATTTTCCTTAAAATTGCATGTTAAATGTAGTATAACCCATGTTTTCACCATTCCGTCATTTCAAAAAATCATTAAAAATATCATTCGATGGTCAATTTCCTTGTGCAACGGTCAGATTAAAGATAATTTTATAGAGACTTAGTAGATACTTAAATTAGCGTGAACTTTTTTGAGACGTGATGCACTTATGAGTTTTAGTGGGCGAACGGCCGAAAAATTACCTTCCGTTCCCATAAATGGGAACGCCCGTTCCCATATTTGGGAACTCCGTTCCCAAAAATGGGAACGTTCCTATATTTGGGTACTCATGACCATAGTTCCACCTACTGAGATAGTGTAATGGGCTGTGACATTTTTTTAAAATAAATTTAGTCCGAATGTTTGAATGGGCGGATTGACAGAGCCGAGGCCCATGCTAAGCAGAGCTTGTTGCGTAGAACCCGACTCCTACCGCCAGATCGCGCAATTCCGGGTAACGGGAGAATTTATATGCCAAAGTTTAACGTGCCCTTCAAAGCTAAGCTTCAAAGCGTGCCCATATAATAGCCGGACACGGCCTGTCCCACTCGACTGACTTTAACTGGCTGCGGATGCTCCCACCAACCGTAGACCATCCCCGTCAGGAGTCTCAAATATCGAGCGCCGGAGCGACTCGAACCCGGGCTCTCACTACCGGGAGTCCGGTGCTCTACCAACTGAGCTACGGGACAGGCATTGAGAATCTACGCCGGATGCCTGTTGTCCGTGAGACACTCTTGCTCTGAAATTTGGCGCATGCAATTTTGCACTGAAATTTCTGCATGATTTGTGCCGAAAATTGGGTGCCTATTCACTATTCGTGCCATAATTTAGCCACTTCAACTTCCATAAAGCACATGTGCACACCTACGGATGAAGGCTATTATATCAACCAGGGTGCTGTTTGGCGGCCAGCTAGCTCGCTAGCCCGCCCACACATACGTGCAAGTTGCCCCGGCAACGGGCTATTGACCAATGAGAAGTGTGCTACGGGGGGCACAGGTATATGAAAAATCGCAGTGATGTTGCACTTTCCTTGCTTCTCATTGGTCAATAGCCCGTTGCCGGGGCAACCAACACGTATGTAAGCGCCACCAAGAGTACTAGTCGGCCGCTGATCAAGGCCCAGACGGAGCGTTCCGGGGCTTTGGACGCCTTCCCATTTTGGAGCATCGGAATAAGTTTTTTACTTCCTTGGAAACCCGAGCCTCAATACGCTTAGCGCCACATAAATCGGTGGAGGACTGCGTTCGAGACTGGCGGGAGCAAGCGAGGGCCGGGCAGCAGAGCAGCACATGCTCCGGCACATCAGCCTCTTCTCGGCACATGGCGCAGAGGGCGCTCGGGCACCGCTTGTCTGGGCACTGCTGGCATGCCGCGGAGTGGAAACAGCCGATTTGGTGCACGTACTGAGCGAGCGGCCCAAGTGGCCAGCCCTCATCTGGATCTGGTGCAGCGAAACGGCCTCCTCTTGGTCCTCTCCGGGGAAAGGGAGCGGCGGCGTGCTCCCGAGGAGTGGCTTGAATAGTGACTCGGACCAATTGTCGCGCCATTGATCCGAGTCCACACAATGAACCGCCCTGGTCAGCGAGGGGGCGGTTGAGGGCAGGGCGGCCGCTTGTTTCGCCAGGTCATCCGCGCTCTCATTCCCCTCGATACCGCAGTGCGCAGGAACCCACTGCAGTATTACTTAACGACGCTTGGCGATGTTCAGCAATGTATTCCATACCTATCTCCACACCAAGTGACTCACTTGGGCGGCCGCTCCTCCGCTGAGTAGACTCAGGGCGGCTCGCCAGTTCGAGCACGCGACGACCGGGGCTGGGACGTCTCGTTCCGAAACCTCTCCAGAGTCGGCCGCAGGGCGAAACTGCTGCTAGATTGACAAGTGTGCTGACAAAATTCGGTGACCGTCCTTGGCCAAAAAAAAAATGTGGCCGGCGCCGCCCTGTGCCGAAAAATTCCGCCACCGACATGCGCTGAATTCGGCGCATGCGAAGTTACGCCGGACGTGCGCTGAAATTTTGGGCGCAGTCCCGCCACTATGCCGGACATATTCGGCATAACATGTGTTTTTCCAGTCTGGCTTGAGATGAGAACCAATGATATAGTTATCATGCTACATCAGATAGGTCGGTGCATATTTCGGAGACAAGCTATCGTTGCAGCGCTTTTGCCAGACTAGAAAAACGCACATTATGCCGAACATGTCCGGCGTAATGGTAGGATTGCGCTGAAAATTACTTTGCTTGTCTGGCACATGGATAAGAATCCATGTCTGGCATAACTTCGCACGCCCCGAATTCAGCGCATGGACACGCTGGCCAATCTAGCAGCAGATTCGCCCTGCGGGTGGCTCTGGAGAGACACAGGACGAGCCGTCCCCTGCCCCTGTCGTCGCATGCTCAGACTCACGAGCCGCCGTGAATCTACTGGGCGGAGGAGCGGCCGCCCAAGTGAGGCCTTCACCCTCGGCATGGAGATGGGTATGGGAGCTTGTTGAACATTGACGGGCGTCACGAAGTGGTTTCCCTGCAGTGGTTTCCTGTCCACTGCGGGATCGGAGGGCATGAGAGCGCGGACCACCTGGCGAAACAAGCAGTCGCCCTGCCCTCGGGGCTCGGACGTCCGCTCGCTGACCCGGGTGGTTCATTGTGCTGCCTTGCGTCAATAGGTACATACAACTGGTCCGAGTCACTATTCAAGCCACTCTTCGGCAGTGCTTCGGCAGCACACTGCCGCTCCCCATCCCCGTTGAGGACCGAGAGGGCGCCGTGTCGGTGCACCAATGAGGGCGGGCCACTGGGGCCGTTCGCTTCAGTACCTGCACCGAATCGGCCGTTACCCCTCCGCGGCGTGCCAGCAGTGCCCAGACAAACGGTGCCCCGTGGCGCTCTGCGCCGTGTTCTAAGAAGAGGCTGATGTGCCGGAGCAGGTGATGCTCTGCTGCGCGGCCCTCACTGGCGCTCGCCAGCCTCGAACATTCCGCCCCGCCGATTTTTGAGACTCCAAAACTTCCGGCCCGGGCCTTGTTTCACGGCACGACGCTGCAGTGCGCTACGCATATTGTGGTGTTGGGTTTCCGTGGAAACATCAACTAACTCGGACTCTCAAACGTGGGAGCAATATATCTAGTATACCCTGCGTGGGAGAGCGTCAAGGCCCTGGAGCGCCCTGTCAGGTTGATAAAGCCTTGTTCGTTAGATTTACACGTGTGATTATTGTAGAAAAAAAAAACTTAATTTTGGCGCAAATATGCATCCAACCTTTGGCGCAAATTATAGAGAAATTTCAACGAAAAATCGTTTACGCCGAATTTCGGTGCAGCAGGGTCTCACGGGCGTCCGGCGTAGTGTTTGAATGTTTTCTAGGCTGGCACTTCGGTTCAATGAGAGAGATTAGCCTGACAGAACAGGATGGTGGTATCAGGTATGTGACACCAACCTTTGTGCTCTGTGTTGGGGCATTGATCGCAGGTTTGAATCCCACTAATGGCAAGAAATTGCCGAGTGTTTTACCGATTTTCGGATTATTTTTTTAGATTGCAGGTTCAAAACTCACTTGTGGAATGGGATGACCAATGATCATGTTTAAAGATTTAACCCGCGCAGTGGGGTCTGTTCATAACGCGACCTGGTGGGGGGGGGGACTATTTTTTGCCCCCCCTCGTATCTCCGACACTACTGCACAGATCCGCAAAATTCGAACGGCGTTCGAAAGCCCGGTTAAATTCGTTGAAAAAATCACTTTCATTGACCTCGGGGTCACCGATGACGTCACAGATCAGGTCAAAGATAAAATGTTTTGCCGGTCACGAGTCTTCTAGGGAATGCGTTATAACATCGAGTAAAACGCATTTTATCGAAAATCAGCGATATGGCTTCAGTTGCCTTGTACATATGTTGCTCTTAGAGGTCACTGATAATGCCAGGTCAGGTCACCAAGGGCAGCACATGAAACCAATTTTACTAGGGCTGTGTGATGCATGTTTTATGGCCAATTTTTCATTTCAAACTCAACGGTGTTGGTTATAAGACCATCAGGAACGGTTTAGGTCACTTTCTGGTGAAGGTCAGGTAAATGTCACGTCAAAAAAGGTCAAATTTCAAAGTTGATATTTTGCATAACATGGGTATTAACCCGCGCCCTGATGGGGGGGCATTTTGCCCCCCCCCTGTGGTTTTTCTTAAATAGCGAGAAAACGCGCCGCCAAATTTTGGGTACCTTACCGGGCATCAATTTGACACCTTCACACAAAATTTCAAGTCACAGGTCACCTGAGGTCAGGAGTTATTGAGGTCAAACTGAGGTCATGTTCGAGTAAAAATGAGCAAAAAGCATGACATCTTGAAACGCTCACCAATTCTACAGTTAACAAGCAATTTTAAAGTTCTTTATGTGGTTGTGTAGAGAAAAGACGGCGCTACAAAACTGCTATCTCGGATTTTCGAAATTTTGGGATTTTGACCCCCAAAAATCAAATAAAATGATTTTTTTAGAAAAATTCAAAATTTTCAATTTTTTCGTATTTCGAAAAAACCGGAATATATGTGATAGTCCCTGCGCTCTTCGATATACATACCAAATTTTAGATCGATACCTCTTTTTTGGCCAAGTTATAGCGAAAAAACTGTTAAAAATTGATGACGTCAAATTTTTGAACTCAATTTTTAGCAATTCTAGACCTCGTAGCGCAAAACGGAGACCACCATTGAACTCCCCGTGACGAGCTGCATCGAATCGGTAGCCATTTTATGCAAAAATATCAACTTTGAAATTTGACCTAATTTGACCTGACCTTGACCTGACCTTGACCTGACCATAACCAAAACGTGACCTAAGTTGGCCCAAAAGTCTGCCTGACCCACATTATCGCATTTGTCATATAAAATGGACCATAAAACATGTATCACACGACACTTTCATATTGTGACCCCCCTCCCCCAGTGACCTGACCTCTGTGACCTGACCTGGTATCAGTGACCCCAAATAGCAAAATATGTGTTTGAAGAGCATTTCCCCATCGATGATTTTCAATGAAATGCATTTTACTCGATTTTACAACGCATTTCTTGAAATGCCTCTAAACGGTGAAAATTCGACCTTTGACCTGACCTGTGACGTCATCGGTTTGACTGAGGTCAATGAAATTGGGTCACAAGGTAGTTCCCCGTTGGGGCTATCCAACGCCGTTTACCGCTTGTCGCTATGTTGCGTGGTTCTCGAGATCTTAGGGGGGGGCCAAATCCCCCCCCCCATCAGACCGCGTTGCTCGGCAGACCCCATCAGGGCGCGGGTTAATTCGATGCAGCTCGTCACGGCAAGTCTAATGATGGTCTTTGTTTTGCGCTACGTGGTCTATTATTGCTAAAAATTGATTTTGAAAATCTGATGATGTCATCAATTTTGAACAGTTTTTTTTTTTTTGCTATAACTTGGCCAAAAAAGAGGTATCGATCTAAAATTTGGTATGTGAATAGAAGTCGGTAAGAGCTATCACATATGTTCCGCTTTTTTTAACATGGGATTTTTTTTTAATTTTTGGCAAATATTTTTTTTTTAAATGTTTTTGGGGGTTAGAATGAAAAAAAATCAAATTTCTGAGATATCAGTTTTTTTAGCCCTGGTAATTCTACACCTTTTATGTCCCAAACGTTTTTCTATATCTTCATAGCTTCAAACCTTTTTTAGCACTTGTGTCAACAAGTGAACCTTAGTGATGCAAGCATTTTTTTTTTCAGAATGGCATCATCTATGAACATAGCAGGAAATCAAAATGAAGAATCTGCTATCAGCGGTGTGGAGGTCCGCAACATTGATGACAGCATTGTAAGTGTTGTTGGACATTGTTCCTTGCATAGTTCCTCGTTGCTCCATTCTTCTGCTCTTCTGCACATTAAATGTTACAGCAGTTTATAAGCTCCTTGCTACCTTACCATAAAATATCCTCTTTTAAGTGGCGTGTATCTTACACGTCTCTGACTAGACTGGAATAGGCAATTTCCCAGCAGTCCACTAGGCCTGCTCTGACAGTCATGGCCCAGACACCAACGAAACCCACTGAGACGGCCAGCTGCCCCCTAATTCCATTGAGAAGGTGTGCTGCCAACCAAACCCACAAAGACAGCCTGTTTTTGGTGAGTTCAATGGCACTGCAGGGAGCTGCTAAGTAAAGTCCCAGCGCCCATTGCGCTGTGGCGATGGACTGTCGGGCGGGGACGAGGGACCAACTGGTTGATAACGAGCTGTTGGGACGAGTGACCAGTACCACTAACCAGCAGGCTGGGACGAGGAACTGGCGGGCAGGGGACGGGGGACTGTCAGGGGCGGCGGATTCGGGGGGGGCAGGGGGGCAGCTGCCCCCCCTGGCAAACTCGTGGGGGGGGCAAAAGTATCTTTTTGCCCCCCCCCCCATAATTTTTGACAAAACTTAGACAAGAAACATATACCTGATTATTCTGTTCGATCATCTGAAGATGTAACCAGATGCCCATATACTTTATCATACGTTGCCTTTCTTAACCCTCGCACGACCAGGCCATTTCTCATAACACGAACGACCAGGGGGGGGGGGTTGTTACGACCCCCCCCCCCTGGCGTTTCGAAACGGAAGGTCGTAGAGCTTAGCGGAAAAAACCAATGGATAGCTCTCAACGAGATCTCGCGATTGGTGGTATATTTTTTGGTTCTAGGTCAACATTTGACCTACTTTTGACCGGTCAAAGGTCAAATTTTCGGAAAAATAGACTTTTTTCAACTTTCGGCGGCGATTGCGGCAAAACGGTGGGAGATATCGACTTGAAACCTTCACTATCGTGTTCCTTGATCAATTCTCTATCGTTTGATATGTATTTCGTTTCCCTAGCTCTAAAAATGGCGCGTTGGGAGCGCCGGAAGTCGGCAAGGTCACAGTCGGCGGCAGAAATTCGAAAAATCAAAATTTAAATTTTTGAAATCTGATTGTATTTTTGGATTTGGGAGGTCCATTTGCTCCCTATAGAAGCTAATATTGCTGCATATTCCCATTGAGGTGACAAGAATTAGCAAAATAGTGGTTCGGGCGCTTTTCAAAAATAGTACCGGACGCTGTTCCTCTTGTGACGTCATAGCTCCGTGACCTGACCTGACCCGGTCAAATTTCTTATACCATATGATAGCCAATACTTGCCCCAACATGCATGGGAAGTTTCATCACGATCCATCAACCGATGTCCGTACCACCGGCAGGAAACCTCGGGCGTTGGCACTCAGTTTGTGAAAATCCGGCCGGAGGCTGTACCTCTTATGACGTCATAACTCCGTGACCTGACATGACCCGATCAATTTTTTTCGGCAAAAGATGCGCAAAGGTTGCCCCAGAGGGTATTGAAAATTTCAGCCCGCTACGACAAGCCGTTTAGCGTGCACTTTGAAAAAACCTCAGGGGGGGGGTTGATACAACCCCCCCCCCCCCTAGGCGTTCTAGGGTTAAATGACAAGTGTTCGCGTTCAATTAAAGTTTTCCTCTCTTTAACCTAGTTTTGGAGACATTATAAGCGTCAAAGTGACGCAGCGGCAACCCAGGCCTTCAGTTACCGCTTACAGGGGCGACAGATACGAAGCGGCAGAGGAGGCATCGTTCCCTAAGAAACTTTTGGAGGAGGGGCAAACGTTTATTCTTGCCCCTCCATAATTTGTGCCCTAAACATGAGGAAAATTTCCATAGCCTGATATTGCAGCTATGCGCTCCTACAGTTTGTCCAACGGTGCCTTTTGAATATGTGTAAAAGCTAACCATTTCCGCTTTATAGCATTTTTTGGCTTTTCAGATTCGATTTAGAGATATTTTAAGTGTGCAAGAGACGCAACTCACACCCTCAGTGGTCGTTTGCCGCTATTTTGTACCTACATGAATGCCAAATCGCAAGCGAGCGGAGACGGAAGGGCTAGCCATTCGCTTGCGGGTAGTTAGGACTGATGAGTGCTCGTAATAAGCCACTCCCCTGATTTTTTTCGAACGCAACAGTTTCCAGTGCAAGTAAAATGGTAAACGCCGAGGTCGTACACATTGACCACATTGACCAATGCACGGTATGACACCCAAAGGCCAGTCATCAGAGATCTGCTTTGGGCATTCGGAGGCTTGTGTGGGGCCAGTGTAAAAACTGGATGTTCACAGTTCAGTATCCGCTTTATTTCAGTATTCACGATTAAATAAGTAAAAATTAACGTTGGAAACTTTTGAGGGTTAGGGCACTGATCATTAGTGGGACCCCCTCTGGCTAAAGGCTGGCTATAGAATACAGAGCATCGAACACGAAAGCAAAATCTAAGGCATTTTGGAAAAATGAGTATGCCACGCAGCGTCCGATAACTACCACCTTCCAGTGGGTCAAGCCAACGGGGTCCAAGTCTATAATGGCACTTAACGATAGCACTAACCTTGTCTCACTTTTCGTTGAAGTCTGTTCCGAATGGTTTTGGCGACAGACTGTCTGCACTGAGGTCGTTTGGTATGTGCAACTGTAATTAAAGCCACCTGAGGCGCCCACACTAGGCTGAAGCTGGGTTGGAAATGCTTCGTCTTTGCAGATATCACTGGCCGCTGATTCTCGAGTGCCTGAACCGGTAGATGTCGTGGCAAAATTTGGTGTGATAATTTGGTCCTTGCCGTAGTCAGCGCACCCTTAAGTCCTAATAAAGAAACGCTCCTCCCCCCCCCCCTCCCGAGCTTCTGCATCCAGTCCAACGAATTACTTCACCCTAGTCCACCGCTCGACTCCCTCACCTCAGCCCTCCGTTCCCAGCTTGACGAGCGTTTGGGCCTTAGTTAAGCCTTGCTGTGGGCTTACTGTAGGATAAACCCATCGAGACAGCCCGTCTCGATGAGCTTAATTGGCGAACTACTGCCTTGGGGTGGGTTTCTGGCGGATTGCTGTCCCAAAAGGTTTAGATGCGACCGACTGTCTCTGAATGTTTGAGCGGTCTCCTCCCGCTGTTTGCTAGTTTCAGTTGATATCTGTCTCAGAAATACTTTTAACTTTTTAAAGGAAGGTTAAACGGAAATCGAACGTAAAGTGAACAGAGGAAAAGTGGTAACGACTCGAGTTACCTCATTGAAGAATAGCGCTCGCCTACTTCAAAAGGTTTGGCACCGTTCCTCAAATCTGATTTGCGATCGGGTTATGGGCTATGGCATATTTTTTTCCCATTGGAGCCTTTTTTCTAATACAGCAATACGAAAATCGTTACATCGTCCACTGGCAGATCCAGGGAGCGGGCATATAAAGCAAATATTTACTCCCCCTCCCCTTGCATCGCCCGAAATAGACAAAACGTACCTTATGTTTCCTAATAATAAAACTTTTATCAGAATGTTTTTGCTTTATACTGTTCAGCAGTAAAGGAATCGAAATCCGAGGAGTTTTTGGATTTTGGACACCTGGGGGGGGGGGGTATGTCCCCTACAGCGTCGAAAACGCCTTTCTGGATCCGCCTATGACATCATCTCGACTGGGATCTTGCCCCCCCCCCCACGCCAAAATCGAATCCGCCGCCACTGGGGACTGTTGAGACGAGGGATCAGCTGGTTGAAACGACCGACCGGTGGGCTGAGACAGTGGCATGGCCCTGAACAGACGGACTGGGACAAATGACCGGCAGATGATCGCAGTCTCCGCTCCGTCCCGCGCAGCACAACGCGGCTCCGCATCGTTTTCCCGCGCTCTCTCAAAGCAGTTGCTTCCACAGAATTGGCCGGCAAATTCCCCCATGATGTCCTTCATTGTGGCCCGCGACTTCTGTATCTCCCGGGGGGGGGGGGGCAGAAACTCGACAGGTGATGTTACGCTTTGCGGGAAAAGCATCCGCCACCCAGAAAAGCATTACTACTGTCCCCCAGTGTTATTAACCCGCGCCGTGCTGGGTACGGGGCGGGTTAATAAAAAAAGGCAGCGACAAAACGGGGCAGGCTCTCCCCCTCTCTGTCTGTCTCTCTCTCCTCTCCGTCGGCCTTTCTTTGTTCAGTTTTTTTTTCTCATTTATATCTTGTTTGTTTGTGCTCCGTGTATGTCTCCATCCGCTTTTCTGCCTCCAGGGGAAGGGTCTGTTTGCCACCCGTGACTTCAAGGCGGGTGACGTCATCTTCGAGGAGCGTCCATTGGTTTGCTGCCAGTTCCTCTGGAACGCGGCCTATGGCTATCTGGCGTGCGACTTCTGCATGAGGTGAGCACAAGAAACATACAGTGTAATTCGGGATTGAAACATCACTTCTTGGCCTACCCTGGTCTCAGGTCTGTGGCCAGGCCCTCGAATGAGCTGCCTGACGAGCTGTTTCAGCAACATCTATCAGTAATCCCAAGATAATCTCGATGAGTAGGTACTGAGCTACAGTGGCACAACCTTGACCGTCCCTGTTTCTCAGTCTCTCATACAATACGACGGGGGGCCTGAAAGACGTGGGCTTGAAATTCCGTCTTCCCCAGTCCAAAGAGTAGTAAAGTAATCTTGAGTCCAAAAGCAATCCTTACCTTAACTTGTTTTGATAAGATCGATATTGTAATCCCACACAGGCATTGCTCGATGTGTCAGCGTATATCGCATCAGAGACAGGATGCGAGATTCCCAGACAAACATCTTCGTTTTGATTTGAGCTTATGTCTTGTACATAGAACAAGCCTTATCTACGACAAAGATTTTCCGGGTTCGAGACGATAGAAATTCTTGCGCTTGAATCCTAATCGATTAAAACGACTTCAACAGTAATTTCAAGCCTGGCTTTCTTCAACACCTCTATCCCTTTTCCATTGGCTAGGTATAATGCAGCGGCCACGTTTTAGTAGCTTACGTCATCTGTCGAAGGGTCACATTACCAACTGAGGTACATATGGCATAGGGAGCACGGACTATGGAGTGGCTGTTGGAGTCGTGGAAGTCCGGCGTCCCCTATTCTAACCCGCCTTTCCCGCCTATGGAGGACATTCTTTCCCTCCCTAGTTAGAATCCACTGGGCTCGAGTTTTTCATTTGGAATCGACAAGCTGTTTTCCCGAGAGATCAGGCTAACATGACTAAATTTTGAGGCATTCGCTATTTGTTGATGCCAGAGGTCAGATCATAAACAAATATGACATTCTGCCGTGTTTTAGGGATTAGGAAATGTGCCAATAGCGCCTTGGAAATCACTAGAAAAATGAATAATGAATGTACAGACCTATTTGTATTCTGAATCAGCTTATTATGACTCAGGATGATACGAGGAATCAGCGCACACTGCTCCTCCCCGTCTACTGACACGCAGTGTTGCACCTTTCCGCTCCCGCCAAGGAACGTCATGCCTTAGTTCGTAAATGCACGCTCCTGCCCCTTCCAATCCTGAATCCGCCCGTCCTTGCTTAAGCTGAATGCTGCAATGTCCGCCCGCCTTCCGCTCACATAGCTGAGAGATGTTCCTAGCATCATCAAAACAGGACGAAGTGAGCTAGTGTTGCCTCCCCGTTCGGACTGTGGCTGCCCCTGAGCGCCGTCGCGCCTCCCGCAGGCCGCTGGAGACGGCGGAGGAGAACGCTCGCCGGCTGACGGGGAACGCCGCGCTGACGCTGCCCCACCCGGAGTGCTGCGAGACCAAGAAAGCCCAGGTGGTCGAGTGCCCCACCTGTGACGTAAGTGCTGTCAACTGGCACGAGTTGGACTGAGGAGACGGAGTGCCTTGGCTGCTCCGTCCGGTGGCTGAACGAGCAGTGAGCTTACAGGTGACTGAGATAACTGACTGCTGAGCTTACAGGTGGATTTGGACTTATGCAGTCAATCGTTATGTCTCACTATACAATGGATACTGAGTCGCTGGGCGCCTTTGACGACACCGCTTTTATGGAATGGAGTGTCCTGGACAGAGCAGATACTCCGCTCATTTTTTATGTGCGTTTGTGTACTGTATAGGAGGATTTAGTGCGTGTGCCGCGTCACCCAGTATTCTCGTATCGCACCAAGTGAGTAACGGACTGTGTGTCGGGCGGTGGGCCGCAGGCGAGTTACTGCGGAGAGCCGTGCAGAGACGCCGCCTGGCGCCAGTACCACAAGACGCTGTGCACGCGCTCCTTCACCAGGGACGAGTCGCACCCGCTGGTCAACCTGCAGGAGACCTGGAAGTGAGTGGTTTTTCGGCCCGTGCTCCTATCCAGACAGAGCAGAGGCCCGTCACAATCAGAATACGTTAATGAGTTTACGGTGGCCTGTGGTCGGAATTCAGCGTCATTCGCTTTTCCTGGGACAGAGTTCAGCGCTGCATTGGGCCTGCGAGGTCGGAAATGACTGCAGAGTACCCGGCATCGAAAATGAGCGGGTAGTTCTTCGGTTATGTCCCACTGTCGGAACTCGGCGGTGTCTAGCGCCCGGGGGAGATCCAGCGCTTAAGTCAGTCCGGGAGGTCAAGTTACAGAGCGGGCCCGCCACATTAGGTACCATCAGTAGTTAAAGGTTGGTGGTCAAAGGTCAAAAGTATCGACCGGATTTCCCCGCTCATTTAATGATAAGATTATTCTCGTCTCCGCTACGCTCGCCGGTAATTTTTCACCCAGCGCGGTGTCAGTTACGGCCATGGACGGTGACTGAGCGTGTGTGCGTGCCCCAGGAAGATGCACTATCCACCGGAGACAGCCTGTATCATGCTCGTGGCTCGAATGCTGGCCACCGTACGCCAGGCGGAGGACAAGGAGGGCGCCATGAACCTCTTCATGCAGGTGGGAACCGCGCGGACCGCTATTAGGCACCGCACGGGATCTTTAGCAATTGAGTCATTACCAGTAAATTGGTAGAGGAAGGCGAGTATAGCTCGCCGCTATTTGTAACCGTGATGATTTCCGGGGTGAATATCGTATCAGTGTCGCGTCTATCCGTGCGAGTAATTGTGGTGGCTTCTTTTAATGATGTATGCTGGGACTGGATGTATGGCTATAATTGTCCGCCATCGATGTCCCTCGCTGCTGTTTTTCCCACTCGTTTTCCACAGCACAGTTACTGCGTAGTCACTAGTTCCGCCCCCACCCCCTCAGTTCTGCCACCGGACGGTGAACGAAGAAGAAGAAATAGCGCACAAGATGCTCGGCGTCCAGTTCTACGAGCAGCTTGAGGTGTTGCGGAAGCTCATGTCGGACGCGCTCTATACACCCGACGTTCACCAGGTGTGTAGACAAATCAAAGACGGGAAGTGAGGATGGAACTTCTCTGGGCTGGTACGGGGTAACGTTTGATTTTAGCACCTTCGTCTCAAAGTGCTTAGTGAGATCCATGCGCCCAATTCATCCGCCTGGTAGGTATGTTTTTGTTCGTAGGCCTAAAATGCCCATCCTCCCGTGATGAAGAAACTCTGTGACGTTTGAAAGTGTTGGTTGCATCGCGTGAATTTGTTGCAATATGTCTGATATTTTGTATATTTATCGTCGTGTTTCTGTTTTCGTTTCTAACTGTGATGTGCCTCTGTTTTCGGCTGGACGTGTGCTGCACCTCAGTGGCTGACGCCCGAGGGGTTCCGGAGTCTGATAGCGCTGGTGGGCACGAACGGTCAGGGAGTGGGCACCAGCGCCATCTCTGTGTGGGTACGCAACTGCACCAACCTCGACCTGCCGGCCGAGGAGCACGAGAAGCTCGACCAGGTCATCAACCAGCTCTACGACGACCTCGAGAAGGGTGAGCTGAGAGGTCACTGTCACTGTGAGCTGACCAGCATAACCATTCAAATCGTAACCCAACATGTTATCTTCTCAAGTGCAAACTCAGTCACTCGTTCGGGGTCAGGCACTCAAGGCTCTGTGATACCTGCCGTTTGTGATGACCCCTGGCGAGATCTGCGCTGCATTATCGCCTCTAACCGGGTGTCGTTTGCCCCAGAGGCGGGCTGTTTTCTGAACAACGAGGGCTCGGCGCTGTACCCGCTGCAGTCTTCCTGTAACCACAGCTGTACGCCCAACGCCATGCCCGGCTTCCCGTGCGACAACTTCGACCTGGTCATGTCGGCCACGCAGGACATCGCTGCCGGCGAGCAGATCTGCGTCAGCTACCTGGACGAGTGCGCCCTGGAGCGCAGCCGGCACAGCCGCAACAAGATACTCAGGTCAGTCGCGCGCCGCCGGTGAACGCGCGCTGGCGGGATTGGGGAGAGATCTTCTCCGGGGATTGGCACAGGTTTCTAGTCCGATTGATCAGTTCAGTTTCAATTTGCCACCGTGTTTTTTCGGCTTTGTCCCTTTCCCATGATTCCCTTTTCTTGGCGTTTTCGGCAGTGTCGTTTCCTATACATGCACAGTAGCTCCCGGTCCATTTCTGATCCGTCGATTCGGCTTTCTACAAAGTGAGTGCTGGCTGTGAGCCCCCTGACACATTCCCACTCGCCCACCCATACCATGACTGCTGCGTAAGTGCTTACTGTGTAGTGCTGTCCGGTGACGGGTGGCGCCTCTCTCCCTCCGCAGGGGCAACTACCTGTTCAACTGCCAGTGCGCCCGGTGTCGGTCCGAGGCCGACCAGCCGGACGTCACCAGCGAGGAGGAAATGGACGACGAGGAGGAGGAAGAGGACGAAGGTCAGGAGTGCTGACGACACGCGAGCGGCAGCCGCGGCCGGCGGCACTGCCACCACGGCCGGGCCGCCTGACCGGGCGCTGGGAATAGCACCACGGCCTGACCGGGCAGACTGGTTGGTTGTAGGTACTGCCAGTGCTACAGCGGCCGGCTGTCACTGCCTCCATAGTCGACTGTCTGACAGGATTGTCAGGAGAGGACTGAGGAATGTCACAACCGGACTGCCACGACACTGCTGTCACTACGCGACCACCACCTGTTCTGAACTGACCATGCAGGCGGGACGGAGCGGGGCGATAGGCGGTTGCCGCTCCGCTGTGCAGCCGCACGGCACGGGGCTGTCCAATGAACCACGGCTGCTTAGGCCTGAAGAGTCGGCGTGTTGCGAGCACACGGCAGGGAGGATGGTTGTGCCGTCAGGCGTCAGCCGTGTGTGGGGTGTACTGTGCAGTGAGGCGAGATACCGGCCTAATGCGTATTTCTCGACTGGGGGAACCCAACGATGTGTTGTTCCCCATGTTCTCGCGTGTTGATTCATGGTGCTGTTTGGGGGGGGGGGGTTGCGAAGGGGTATGAACTGCTAAAGCGACAAAGTGGAGTTTGCTTAATCCAGACTGCGGATCCTGTAATGCCGCTCCGTCTTATAAAGTGGGAAGGGCTTGTCTCCCAGGGCGATATGCATTGTTATGTTTGTGAATGCATGTGAATGCGAATACGAGTGGTTTTGAAGATTTGTATGATGTGTAGGCATATGGGATGTGCAAGCACCATTTCGACCCGGCGCCGGTAGCTAACACATTCTCGCATAGTCCTGTGTGTGAGAGCTCGCGTTACGCTGGCGCCGCCGCTGCGGTCCCATGTTGCCGTGGTTACCTGTGAGCGGCGGACGGATGTGAGACGACCGGTGCCGCGCGGCGTCAACAGGCTGATATGGGCCGAAAGACAGCGCGGATAGAGGGCGAACGCGGATGTCCTGGCCGCCGGGTCCGTCGTCTGGGCACCGGGACACTTCTGCTCGCAATATATGTTTGCGTATATGTACCGCCTGTAACATTTTCTTTATTCATTGAAATTCACTATCAGTTCCGTTTGAAATACGCGTTGTCTGTACGGCCCTCCAAGGCCCAACCACGACCCTTCAAGTGGGTGGTCACTGGTCGCCAACATCACACCGATCGATCTTTCATGCATTCGTCAATATGTTGTAAAAGAAAAAAAAACATTGGCGGACTGTCCGCACGAAGTCTCACTCATTTCTATTGAACCATTTTACTTGAGTGTTTGCGCCATTCAAAGTTTCCACTGCCTCCACATGCACAGACAGTTGAAACAGAACAAAGACAGACAGTGCATTCGCTTTGACCATGTGACCGAATTGCCTGGCGGTAGGAAAAGCTGCATGCGAGGCTGGTATTCGCCGAATGCGCTCCCTCTAACAAGCTTATGGGATGAGACCCGGCCTCCCACCATGGGCCATTTTGTTGGCCCTGGTCCTTCCTCGGAAGCCCATTCAGAGTTGACCTCTCTCGGACTTTGGCGATCGTCGCCAGACGGTGCGACAGGATTCACACGTTTAAGCCAGATCCCTTCAAACGATACGCCGAAGAGTGCTTTCTCTGTGTTTACACTTAATTAGCTAGCTCTCATGTTCAACGATCGACTATTCTCTTTACAGTGTTACAAGTTACAGCATAATAGGTAGGTTTTTGCACAGTGTATTAAATATATAAAAGGTTTATGTTCCAGGAACGACGTCATTTTGAAATAAACAGTTTGCAGCATTTTAGGTACCTTTGTTAGGCTATTTTGATACATTTGTGGCGCGTTAGTTTCAAAAAGGCATAGAGCGGATTTTGCATGGATAGTAGTAATCACAAAGTGGATTTTCGTGTGGCGTGTTTTTGTAGCTGGTACCTATGTAGTTATTTACTTTTGATTGATGATTATATTATGTTACTTCCAAGTATTCAGCAGCTAATATAATGCATGGCTATTATTTTGAGATATAAATGTTACCATGAATAAGGGTGTTCCTTTCAGACGTTCCTAAGCTCGGGTGGATGTCCTCATTCAAAGCTTCCCTTTGTGCTTACCTACTATTTCCAATTCAGACCTTTTGCATTGCTGTCTTGTTTAACACTTTATCTCTCATTTTTCTGCCTGACTTAACCATCGCCCGTATCAGTGTTTTGCCTGCTGCAGGAACCAGAATGGATGTTCATAGTTGAGCGTCTGTTGGACCCCTCTTGCTGTTTGGCACCTGATTGAGCTAGAGCTTCACAGAAAAAAGAGTGTGCTGCCTGTGATTAGAGCAACCTGATGACACCCAATTTGAAGGTCCAAGGTCATTGGTTGACCTTCCAGGTCAGGTCAGTGACCCAAAAGTCTGTAAAATCTGGACCTGTTGTATTGTAGTAAAGTGAGGCCGTTATTGGTATAATGTGCACCGTGTAAGTGCACACATTACTTGACCTTCAGCTGCTATTTTGCTGATTCTAGTAACTTATTTGTTTTCCCTTCCTTTCAGCATTTGACCCTATACATTGAAGCCTGTTTGAATTGAACATTGAAGCCTTGGACATCTGTTTGGCTGCGGCCATGGCCGGCGCTGTGATAGAGAATCTGAGCGGCCGCAAGCTGGCCTGTCTGTGCTCGGCACTGCTGGTGGCATTGTTGGTCTGCTTCCTGCTGGGCGGTCTGGTGGCCCCTGAGCCGAGCAGTTCGCAAAACATCCTCGGGACCATCTGTCTGGACCACGAGCGCGAGCCAGACCGATGGTTCCAGGTGTGGAGCGTCATCGGCAGTGAAAAGATGTGCGACAAGGCAGACAAAGTGGACGACCTGATGGACACTGGCATTTCGTCTGAACAGGTGGTGTTCGCCTTCCAGATGCCTCTGCGCAGAGGTGCAGTGCTGGACTTTACCCGCTGGCAGCAAAATCTGATCGGTGTACTCCAGCTGGACATTGACCACGACTCGCAATACGAGATGGTGCCCAACGCCACTTTGGCGCTGGACGTGCGACTCGGCTACAAGAACAAAGAAGACAAGACAGAGGACTGGACGCTGCTGGCCGCCTCAGTTGAGGAGCGCCATCTCCTCTGCGACTTGGACTCTGAGCAGAGCTACCGCTACAACTGCGACCTGATTCCACTGTTCGAGCTGGGCTCACTTCACCACGACTATTATTTGCTAAACTTGCGTCTGCCGCCGAACATGGAGAACCAGCGCAATGTCGGCATCGGCAAGCTCGTCGACATCAACCTGGTGGCCATCTTCCAGAACGGCGGCTTCACCAAGGTGTGGGTGTCGCTGAAGACCATCTTCTTCCCGCTGGTGGTGGTGCTGCTCGTTTGGTTCTGGCGGCGCGTGCAGGCGCTCCAGCGAGAGCCGGCTCTCATCGAATGCATGTTGTTCTCGCTCGGCATCTGCCTGAGCGTGCTAAATCTACCGCTTGAGTTCCTGACTCTGCGCTTCGACATGCCGTACATGCTGCTGATCACGGACATTCGCCAGGGCGTCTTTTACGCGGTGCTGCTGTCGTTTTGGCTCGTGTTTGCCGGCGAACACCTCATGGTGTCGGAGGATTGTGACCGCAACCGACTGGCCGCTTACTGGAAGCACCTGTCTGCGGTTGCCTGTGGCTGTATATCGCTCTTTATTTTCGACATGTGCGAGCGAGGCGTGCAGCTGACAAACCCGTTCTACTCCATCTGGGGCACGCGCGTCGGCACAAACCTGGCTCTGAGCTTCATCATCATGGCGGGCGTGTCGGCCAGCCTCTACTTCTGCTTCCTCTCCTGGATGATCTGGCGCGTCTTCTGCAACATCAACGTGAAGCGGCACTCCCTGCCGGCCATGTCATCGGTCCGTCGTCTGCACTATGAGGGCATCATCTACCGGTTCAAGTTTCTGATGCTGGCCACGCTGACCTGCGCCGCCATGACCGTGATCGGATTTATCCTGGGCCAAGTAGCCGAAGGCCAGTGGAAGTGGGACGACGAGATCTCGCTCAATTACACGTCGGCGATCCTGACGGGGGTGTACGGCATGTGGAACGTCTACACGATGGCCGTCATCTGCCTGTACGCGCCTTCGCACAAGCGCTGGCCGACGGCGGCGGCTGCCGGCGGCGTGGCGCAGCTCGACAGCCAGTCCGAGGAGATCGAGTTCTCGCGTCTGGCCCCGGCCAACGACGAGCCCAGCGACCTCACCTCGCTCACCCAGTTCGTGCGCAAGGCGGCCACCGACTAGCGGCCCCCGGCCCGGCTGTGACACGCCGCTGAGCTGATGCGCAATGAGCACCTCTGTCCCGCCATGCTGTCTGGCTGACACGGTGCGTTGTCTATGGCTTTAGCCGAGGAAGGCAGCTTTGCTCCAACGTTCTTGATTTGTATGTCCCCGTATATGATAATGATGGATCTTGCCATCACACTCCGAAAGGTCCGGCCACAGATGTTGCCCATTGCATGCAATCTCACATGATAACATTAGAACTGGCAGCCGTTAAACAACTTTGTTATCTCAATAATTTCACCAGAATCTCGCTAAGACAATAATAGCTAAGAAGTGCAAATGGTACATTTTTCAAGGCAAGGATCGCTACTTATCAGTTTATGGCGTCGATTTATGTGTAGATAGTGATTTTTCACATTAATTGTATCCTGTGTCTCAGTTCATCAATGGTCTGCAAGATTGGGCATTGTTAATTGCAATTTTCTCTTTGCTTGCCTTTCATTCTCGCCGGGAGAAACAAGGAGGCAGCAATAACGTCCCAAACCATTTTTCCAGCTGTGTTCTGCCCATCCATTGTGTTGAACGTTGAACTGTCAAATCCGCGACGAAGCCCCTTTACCAACGTCGTTCATCGATCTCCTCATTGTCTGTGTTGCATGTGCGTTGGCACTCATGCCTTCGTCTGTAGGTGCTTTTCCTTGCCGTCACATTTTTTATTAATGTTTTCTACGAGCTGTTATTGAAAGATCATCTTGTCCTGTGTTACTGTTGATTCGAAGTTTGTAGAAATGCTACACGTAGCGCATGTAAGCTAGTGCCAAATATCTGTTCGAAGCTGTGTGTACGTCTTGCCAGCAGGACACAAGCTGTGTATTTGTGGAATCTCCCATCTGATGCTGGGTAGCGGTCGTGGTCACGACAGACCCGTGCTAGAAACGCCAGCGCCACAGCTGCATCTTACATTTTGGTATCGCGCTGTTTTGCGTCGGTAGTCTCTGAATCGCTGTTCAGTAATTGTGCGTCGCTGTGCGCTGTAGTCTAAGCATCTTCGATGTATTGTGATGTTTGGTGTACTTTTGCTTCGTGTACCACTTCGATGGGCAGTTTTTCAATAAACTTTGTATCGTTTAACTCTACCATCCGTTGAAAAACAGCAATTGGGTGACGAAAGGCGGGGCCAAGCACCCAAACCCATCTAGCGACTGACGGGTTCAATACTAGGCACGCGCATAGAAAGAGGTAATACAGACGCCAGTGTATACATATATTGTGTCAGTCAGTCAGGCATTGACAGCTGTCGTGGGCTGCTCGGCTCGCTCTCCGTCCCGCGCGCGGTGCGGGTAGAGGGTCAGGCGCACGGTGCGGCGGCGCGCCGCGGCCACAGGGCCGGTATATCACATGGAATCGGTCACAGCGCGCGGCCACACGCCAGCCGCTGTGCTGCCGTGGCAAGGCACCGGGAGAGGACGCGCGCGGCGCTCCGGTCGGCCGGCCGACCGCCGACCCGGGGCGCAGCCGCGCCGTACAGATAAGGTCACAGCGCCGGGCGCGGCGGCCCTCCGCTACATAATGGCACACTGAAACGGAGAGGCGGGCGTCAGCGTTCATTGGCGGTGTCAAGTTCAGCGGCCTCTTGGCGAGCAGAGTGAGTGAGCCGAATAGTCATCGCTCTGCTCTGAGCATGATGACAAGTATTCAAGTACATTCCATGAAAATCAATATTTTTAGTAATTGTATAGTTCGAAGCGTCATGTGATGACCGGGGAACATCGTTTTGCAATCGACCGCACGGCCTTGCTCAGCAAGAGTGTGCGACCGAGTGCAGCATGTCCTGATGGCTGGCTCACCTTCCCCTTTGATTTTCCTTCAGATCCTCCGGTGCTGCTGACCCGTTGGTGGCCCGTGGCCGGCTGCTGCGGCGGTGCCGCCGGCGGCTGAGAGTGCCGCCGCCGTTGCCGCTGCTGCTGCTGCGGCTGCTGTTGTTGTTGCTGCTGCTCGGACGCCGCACTCCTGTCCTCCTCCTCCTGTAACCGCCTGGCCAGTTCGGCGCTGCAAAACATGGACAATTGGCTCCAGAACAGCGCCGGTGGTGGGCCGGCCAGCGAGCCCGATCGACAGCAGAGCGTACTCATACGTAGCGTCAACACAGTGTGGGCGCCTGCACTGCACTCCGCACCAGCAGCACACTCCCGCACATACACCACCTACACATAACAAACACCGAATTATTACAGCACCATGACCGAACGTAACACAGGTTATCGTCACGACCGCCGTGTGCCGCTGGACCTGAGACTCACTCTGAGAGTAGCTCGGCACTGGTGCCGAACTCTGCCTCCTTGTACTCCTGCCACTGCATATCCTGCGCCTGCTGCCGCGAGCTCTCCTCCTGCAGAGACAGCGCCACCATGTAGCTGAAAAAGAGCGGTCGGCGGCGGTCAGCGGCCGGGCTAGTGTTGGTCATCACTCATATGAGTGGGCTGTTGAGTTCAACTCCAGGGTGATTGGTCAGATTTTGTACCAGAAAGACAGAGAGCACACTGGCACGGCGGTGAGACCAAACCGCCAGTCAGCCGAGAGAGCTGCACAAGAATACCAGTGTACACAGCAGACGGGGAGGGGTACTGTACAATGTACATGTGTACCAGCGTAGGCGGCAGACGGGGAGGGGGTGTTGCACAAGTGCACCTGCACCGCCCGTTACCCACTCACTCGTGGTCCACCTGCTCGGGGCCGGAGGCCGGCGGCCGCTCAGGGCTCAGCGGCTCAAAGTTTCCGTTGACGAACTGTCCGGCGCCGTCAGTGGAGCTGAGCGTCTCCCAGACCACCCGCGGCTCGCGCAGGAAGCCCTGGTCGGTCACCAGCAGGTACAACTGGTCCTGCGGAGGGTAGACAACGCGCACGTCAGCTGCAGTCAGCGGGTGTGTCAAACGAGAGATCCACAGCAGACCACTCGGAGGCCCGAGCGACGATATAGAGCTACTGCCGTCTGCCGGCAATAATGCAGTACAGCTATACAAAATGCTGGGTACCAAATCGAGCCCAGAACGCACCTTAAATCGAACCCCGACCGCACCAAAACGTACCCAGAATGCATCAAAGCGTACTGGCATTTAATAATGATTCTTCCAAACAAATGCAATGTGTTAAAATTGGTATAGCATAGCAGCTACCGTAATTTGAGCCTGCAATTTGTACAGTTATACCGAAGAATCAGAGAGAATACTCGCAGGTAGCTGCACACAGCACAGACCTGGTATCTGTAGATGGTACTGAAGTGGTTGTTTCTGAAGAAGACGGCCAGCTCGCCGTCCCGCATGGTCTCCCTCAGCTGACTCAGGCCGTGGGCGGTCAGCTGCGAGGCCGTCGTGTCCAGGAAGTTCTCGGCCAGCAGCACTATACGCAGAGAGCACGACAGCCAGTCGTCAGCAGGGCCGCAGTCACCAGTCCCCGAATCCACCGACACACACGTGACACAGACATCAGAAATGGGACACACGAGCATACCGTGACAGCTGGGCTGTGCAAACATGTCCACGGTTTACCAGAGCATCCGCCGAGCGCCTAGTGTACATTGCATAATGTCCATTAACATTTCATATTAACGGCAGCTTGAGAAAACGGCAACTGTGGACCGAGTCCTGGGTAGTGAGCTCACCCTCGTGCAGAAGTTCCGGGTCGTCCGAGTCTTTGTTGGTGATTATCTTGTCGGCCAGCTGGTTGTATCCGCACTGGGCCACCACTCGGTGTACGTCCGGCTCATGCGGATCCACCAGCCAGCCGTGGTACAGCCGCACGTGCAGCAGGTCGAATATACAACACTCGGGCGTGTACTCGAACTCCTGCACCCTGCAGCAGTGTAACGGGATGTGACAGGCTGATCACCAGGCCGGTGTTTGAACGTATCCAACAGGATTATCAGAAGGTAACATTTCGGACATCAGCTGCTTCATTGCATCGGGTTTAACAACATCGCAACGTGACATATCGAGCTGAACGACTGATCAATAACGTCATGGTGTCGTAACATTCTTAACCGGATGACATCAAATATTGCGGACATTTTTTTATTTAACATTGAGAAATGAGATATTTGAACTGTTGTGTACTGTTTAGTGCTGATAATTGGTATGTGGTTTACTAGAATCCGTATATGATCCCGGAACGAAATCACTAAAATAAATTCAATAACTGGAAAATGCGTAGACGAAGAATAACCGTCACCAGGTACTATTGGCCACACATCGTTGCAAAAACTGACCGTCTAAAGCACATGGAACGTTGTTTAAATAGTCGCCAAGGGCCTTCCTCACGAACGTCATTGATGTAGCGTCAAAACTACGGGGGGCAGTTAAATAACTATATCTGATGCATCATCTGCAGTTTCGATTTGGGTTTCAACTTTTACTGCAGCATCACTGGTTAATTTCAGATGAACAAGGGCGACATAGATACGCGTAACACGACCTACCCGGAGAACTTGACGTTGACGTCGAGACCGGTCTGCAGTTTGGGCAGGATGGCCACGGCGTCCTGCATGTTTTGCTGAAAGTCAGGCTGCTGCGCCTCGGCCGGCGCCGAGTCGAGCATGGTGTCCCCGATGTAGTCCATCAGCTGGCCGATGGTGATCACCTCCAGCGCAGAGGGCAGCTGCACCTTGCCCTTCAGCAGCATCACATTGATCAGCGCCAGCAGCGGGCACGGTCCGTTCACATTCTGTGTGATGATCGGCGAGCGGGCCCCGTGGAACTGCACCCACTTGATGTGGTGCGCCGTATCCGACACGTGTCGCTCCGCCCCCGCGGCACTGGCGGGCTCCTCTGGCAGCGCCACGCGCTCCGCCCCCGCGGCACAGGCGGGCTCCTCCGGCAGCGCCACGCGAGCGGGCTCCGCGGAGCCTACTGGCTCTTCCTCCGACAGAGCGACACGGGCCGGCTCCGCGGAGCCAGCTGGCTCCTCTGGCAGCGCGACGCGGATCGGCTCCACAGCATCGTCGGGCACTTCAGGGAGGGTCGCGGTCGACTTTGTCACGTCTGGCGACGCTACCGATGTGGAAGGACTTGAGTCCCTACCAGGAGGCTGCTCGTGGCCAGAAGCCTCATTGGACCGTGGGGAGGATGCTGCAGCACGTATCATCAGAGCATCTTCCGATCCAGCTACAGAGTGGCTGGGAGATGGATCTCCATGGCCCATGGTGGTGCTCTCCTCCACAACATTTGGTAGAGTGGAGTGTGATTGACAGTCTTGCCCAGGATTTTGATGTTCAATAAATTTATTTCTTATGTCATCACCTTTATCATTGCCACTTAATCCTTGGCCTTCATTATTAGAACTGCTGCTTGCCATGCTCTGAAAAATAAACAATGCAATATTAGAAACAATTTGTGATCCTATGACACAACCAATGCTCTAAGCACTTCAGCACTAAAGAAAAAAAAGAAAAAAGGCTCCAGTAGTCCAGTAGTGAGAAGGAAGAGCAGGAGTCATGATGAGATGATGACCATCAGAGAATGATTTTAAAGAGGATAGTTCACTTTCCCAAAATTAGTTTTTTTGCAGTGAATTTCAGATTTTTATGCTCAAAATGATCAGCAAAGAAACTAAAACCATTTTATAAAAAAACATCCTTTTCTACATTTTTACATAGGAAGAACTATACCTGCTCTATGAAAATATTATTCGATGCAGAAGCTTTTTAAGCATTGACCAATCATAGTGTGTAGTTCAAAGTCACTTCAAACCCATACGCTGTAAGCAGCATGCTGCTTGGCTGATGATGACGTGGCTGCATTCCTCAGCATAACAAGCACTCCTCAGCAAGACACTTTTCTGGACAAGAAATGGAACATCTTTGCCTGGGTTGATCTTTGAGCCGTAAAAGGTTCTGATTTGTGCTTGTCTCAGCTCAAGCTACGAAACTGCTATTCCTGTTCAAAACCCTATGTTAAAAGTGAATCATTTCCTTTAATTTGTTAATTTTTGCTGCTTTGTTTTTGACATGTTAGCATTTGTGATGATTTCTATGGCTACTTTACGAGATATTATCATAAAACGGTTAGAACTGCAAAAAAAAACACAGTTAGAATTTTAGCTGTTTCCACCAAACATCCCAGTTTGTTGATGTTTCCATAAAACCAAAAGTCCCAATAAAGCTAGTGGCCTCTGGCAGGGTGCTGTAAAAAAGGGTTCCCAACAAACTTTGAATTACCATTGCAGGATCAATAATTGTAATGGTGAGGCAGGTATCAGGTATGAGCATAATGGGTATGACTTTTGTTATTTATAGTCACCGTGACTTTTGTATACTTTGCACCATTAATGGCATGTCAGCACCCATTTTAGCACACTCCAACTCACTTTAATTTTCATTTTTACACGACTTGTTAAGAAGTCGGGCCGTGCAAGTGCAACTCACACCAATACCTTTCTGCTGTATGCGCGCAAGATAAGTATAATGTCTACAGCAATTAAAATATCCGAACAATATTTATCGAATTTATCGACCTACCTCTAAATGATTAAATAAAATTAGAAACTCAGATAAACACACCACAGACTTCACTCAATATACCCTGCCACAGACCCGCGCGAGACAACAGCCACCACTGTTTTGCAACCACCACGTCATAAATGTATCAAAACAAACTTTATCATCACCAAGGATGGTCGAAATGGATAATGCTATTTAAACGCTAACTTTGTGATTACGTTAGAATCTCAGTTCTCTATGAATCTATGGAGCTAAATATAGTATATTAAAAATAGAAAATAGAAAATTACCACAGTGTATATAAATACAGTGGCGGCAAATGCGCTTGGTCACGTGACCAAATCTGCACGTGCGGTTGTGGCGAGGGCACTTCCCGAAACTCTGGTGCCAACGGCCTCGCGGCGCCCATAGAGAATACATGGGACCTTTTCTTTTCAGACCTATCGTGTCTAAACCAAGCCATTTAGTGCAAGGATACGACTGGTTTGAGATTCAGTAGTCTTTTGGCTACAAGTTGGCATAAGAAACGTATTTTTATCGGCAAAATTCGCAAAGTACCAGGTGGTTTTCCGATACCCTGCACGCCTCCTTACCCCCGGCGGCCGACCGGAGGAGTCAGTAGCGCTCCACTCACGACTTTTGGCGATAGCTCAAAACACCTTACAGCTAGAGGGCTGCTATTTGGCACACCTTATCTTTGCTTCCATACGAATCTTTGGAAACCAATTGCATTTCCGTCTCAGGTCAGGTCACTGACTTATGACGTCACACGTGAACCTCTGCAATAGTCCCAAAATACCGAAACTTCGCAATGCCCTCGGTGCCAGAGGAGCTGTCACAGCGAGATGATACTTACAGGACCTAGTATCCTCTAGGAGTCTCAAAACTTGTATATCTCTGATTTCTCCTGGAGGTCACATGAGGTCAGGCCGATCGCGCGACGTCACCATTACAAGTCAATGGGGAAAATATGGAAACTGTAATTTTGACGCCGAGAATGATCTAAACCTAGCTCAAGCACATGGAATCGCAATTTCATGCAATTCTTGCAATGTCCAATGCTTCACTTTTGCATCTTTAACCTAGCGTGACGTTATTCATGACGTCATAAATGTCACAAGTTTTTTCGTCAATAACTCCTGATAAAATTGAGCTGGCAAGTCGGAAAAGTCGCCAATAGACTCGGGAAGACCTACCGAATCGAATGATATGCGATATAACCTCCTCCGACCAAGTTCGTGACCTGAGTGCCTCTGACCTGGCTTTGATCCGATGTGAACACCTTATGTTGACCCCACCCAAACAAAAGTGTACCATTTTGACGCACCGGAGCATGACAAACATGATGGTACTAAAATCGCGACTCTGCGCCGTTTTTTTTTTGACAAAGTTATTTTTCAAAACCCGAAATCGTATTTTGGCCCTCGGGGCACTTGACCTGACCCTCAGAGGCCATCAGTTGACCTGAGACTTTTAAACCGTGCATCAATCGCTGCGTCCCCGGTCCCGTAACGGCACACATGCTCGTTTTTCCCGCGAGGCTAGCTCAATTAAGGCGAGGGAGTTGTACCCGCCCACTCTCGCGGCTGGGGCGTAGGTATGTAAAAAAAAAACTAAGAAGTCTGGTGATGATTGATGCAAGATTCTTACAGATAATGGTAGATGAAGGTAGGGCATCAGTTATTAAAGATAGGTAAAAAACAAATTTGCAGCCCTCAGTAGCATTGATTTATGCATTAAGAGTTATAGAACCATAGGCGGCGGAACGGGGAGGGCACCGGGGCACCGTGCCCCCTATAATTTTGGCATTTTAACATTAGCCCTATGGGCGTTGCATGGAAAGAATCGGACCGAAAGTCGGCAGTGCCCCCCCCCCCTTAATTGAAGGTGTTCCGCCGCTACTGTATAGAACAACTGTAAGCTGCAGGCTCAGCTTTTCAGTTTCTACCTATGCCTGCAAACAGAATAAAATCAATGGAAGAGTAATAATAGATTAATTGCATTTTATTGATGCTATTCAAGTAACAATGGTAACTATGTCACCGATGATTCAATATTATTTGCACGGTATCATTTACCACCACACGCCTAAATATTTAGTATCTAAAATAATGCAGTAAAATAAGCTGCGCCACGTCTGTCGACAAAATCTGGTGCCAACTCAAGGTCACACGGAAAATGTGGTCACGTGACCAATGTCCGGCAGCTGAAAATTACCATCTGTTGCTACGTTTATATACCTAGCTCCTAACCAATGTAAAAACAAAATAAACCATGCGGAAAGTGTCCTAATGCTTCAAAGTGGGTGGGAAATCCACCTGTTCATACGTTTTGTTCCGTAGTTGAGTGTTGACAAATGCAATTTTTCACCACTTTCATGTAAACGTCAACTTGAATACCTATCTCTGTCCCCGTTCCCGCAGCATAAATGGCCCTTGCGACGACGATGGATCCGCTACGATCACCGCTTATATCATTATCAAAATATGGCTGATAAGTCCCATGTTTAAAAAGCGTAAAGCTGTTTTATTCGCCATCGAATGAATATATTCTGTCTATGTAAATGCATGCTTTTCTCTCAGAAAAGTTGTCTGCCTCTCCTGATACTGAAAAGAGCAGGTTTTTCGCAGTGCAATCAAGTACACAAGTACTGAAGCCTAATAAAAGGGAATGCTTGTGATTATTGTTCCTAAATGTAACTTAAATGTATGCTTTACAGAAATTCAGATTTAAAACAAAGTTATCTTTCTATGTGACTGACGAATCGTATTTATTATATCAACTTTTGCGTCGTAGTGATGGCTCTCCTTTCGCTACAGAAGTATTTGGAAGTACTCGCAGCCCAAAAGATCTCTCGCGGTGGGATATCTCTGGCCGTGAAGATGCTGAGCCGGTCCACCTTCCTGCTGCCGCTATGGTAAGTTAATTTGAATGACCGAAGAGCTAGTCCTATTTTTGAATAGTTTCTTGTATTTTTACGCGTTTTTCACCTATGAAACAGCTCCAGAGCTTCATAAATTGCTGGGTTTTCTTGCACATATTTTGGCACAGGTGCGTCATTTTAGCCATCTTAAGGGCTTGAATAGGTATCATAATAAGTTTTTGGTGGATAGTTGCCTGAAAATAAATTTTTAATAATTAACATTCATTAAATACATTTCTTATATTTGGTTTTGTCTTTAAAAAGGTTCTCAGGGAGATGTTTCCACTAACTGAAGAGCTCGAGCTCTTGAGCAGGCTTGTTGTTACAATTGATACTCAAGCATGAGAAGATCATGAAGTGTATTGGTGTAACAATATTATTTTTGTAAAGTCTACTTAGTGAAATATTGATATTGCTTATTCTTCAGCTTCAGTATGCATGCAGCAGTCAAGATCACAATTCACAAGTGATCTTAATGCGAACTATTGCATAATTATCTTCCCAAATTATGTGTAGGTAGGTAGGTACCTAATTACCTGTAAATGGTTTGTACACTGTGCCTTAAGAAATAAATCATCCAGAGCTATTGTATATCAAATGAATAGTCATTTTATCTCATTGTACTTATCAAGAATTTGGCACTGATACTGACAATATCCTTTTCATTTTACAGCGGCCCACAGCAGCAGCAGCAGCAGAGGGCAATGTCTACCCTGAAAGCAATCTCTATGAGGTTGCGATCAGTTAAGAACATCCAAAAGATCACCAAGTCAATGAAGATGGTGTCAGCTGCCAAATATGCACGTGCTGAGCGCGAGCTGAAACCAGCAAGGGCATATGGCATTGGTGCAAAAGTAAGTTAAACTCTTCTCTCTGAGGCTACTGCTTTTCCTCTTTGTATAAACAATAAAATTAGCTCAGGTGAAACCCGACTAACATTACCTGATAAAATAAAGGTAGTCTATAGTTTTGAATAGAGGTGCTAGCTAATGTTTGAAGCATGCTTTTTTGTTTGTCAACCTGCACCAAGTCTTGCAGGTTGATGATCAGTTATTTGACCATAAATATAAATAGTCAGTGTTTCAGTAAAGCTGTATATATTGTTAAGATGACCCAACCAAGGTGGTTGTATCCTTTGAGCATGACTTAAGAGAAAATGTTAGGTCTTGAGGTGAAAAATAAAATAAAAGATATCTACCTGAATGTTTCTATAATAGTTAGTTGTATGTTTATGGGGAAAAGTGTTAAAGATGGCCCAAACAAAGATGCTCAGGCTCTGAATTTCCTTTATAACTCCTAATGAAATAATCATCCTTGTATAGCAACAAAGGTTGTAAGAATGACCTCACCCAGTGTTACCAATGTTGAAAATTTTATGTTAGTGTTTCACACATCCTGTCATGATAATTGCTGAAAGATTAGTATTGTTAAATCATTTTTAAAGAAATCCTTCAGTAGATCTAGTCAAGAGAAAATTTACTTTCATTCAGGTGATGTCCAAATTTACTTTCATTCAGGTGATGTCCTTTTAATGTAACTTTACCTAACTGGTGACCTGGGCCCTAAATGGTATCAAGTTGTGCATAAAATAGGGAGGTAAAATATGTCTGTTTTAGAGTACTGTGCAAGGAGGACTAGAAGTAAAGAGAGATTCAGACTGTCTGTTTGTAGAGTGGGAGACTCAGACTATCTGATGGTCATCATGTAAAGCATTGTTCTCTCCCCTTGAAAAAAGATGAGTCATTGGATGCTTTCTGTCGACCCTTGTGGTCGCACCACATTGCTCCTTGTATTGAGCGCTAATACCATGACAGTCGATACGGCCTGGGCGCCTGAGTAATGACCTGATCACTCCACTCCTTACGCAGACGTTCTACGAGGCGGCCGAGATCGGCGCCGAGGAGCCGGCGCCGGACGCCAGTCAGCTGCTGGTGGCCGTCACCTCGGACCGCGGACTCTGCGGCGCCGTCCACTCGAGCATCGCCAAACGCATCCGGGCCAACTACACGCCCGAGGGGAACTACAAGATCGTCTGCATCGGCGACAAGTCGCGCACCATCCTGCAGCGGTGCGTGGGGGGTGCGGGACTCGGCTGGGAAAAAAGCAATTAATTCAGGGAAAAAAATGAAGAAATTGATCGGTAACAAGTTAACAACGTGTGATGTATCTTTGAGTGTGTACAGATAGCATAAAAAGAAAACTTGTCGTAACCGTATAATCAGGTCCATCATCACAAATAGGTTAGGCACTAGTACTGAAAACCTCCGAGCACGAATTGGCTTTGTCTTTTTCAGTAGAGCGTGGATTTGCGTGATGCATGGTGTTGCTCCGCTCTGTGTTAGGGTCCAGTTTCGTCAGCAGTGTGACGGGGTGCCGCTTCCATTGGCAGGACCCACAACCAGAACATTCTGTTCCACGTCAGTGAAGTGGGCAAGAAGGCGCCGTCCTTCTCGGACGCCACGGCCGTCGCTCAGGAGATCCTCGCCTCCGGATACGAGTTCAGCACGGGCAATATCTTCTTCAACATCTTCAGGTGAGTTCAAAATATCAATTTAATGTTATATTTTGATCGTTAGGGGACATGCTGCGCACTAACTAGTTTCAGGTTTTATCATAGACATTCTTGTTATGCTTGGCGATATCGACCGTGCTTCTAACATCGTTTTAATAAAGGATCGCTTTTTCTCCAAGCGCTTTTAAAAATGTGTTGCATTTATTTAATGTTGATGCCATCACACGTACCAAAAAGGTGCATAAGGGAAAACACGAGAAGCTGTTGCATTGTTTTCAAGCTCTTGTTACTAACAAGAGCAGAGCGTTAAGCGAGTTCCTCAATGCACCAAAAACTAGTTAGTGTTTGAGCCAACCGGCCCGATTTCGCCGTGCATGTTGAACGCTGACAACTTCAAACACCCTGCGAATTAACTAACGGTATTCATTAGTACGTTGTATCGCGTGTTATGGTGAATACACTCGTAGTCGTATGCCTACATTTTTCGTTTTCAGACATCTTACTCCAGCCCGTACGCAGTGTACCCATCATTTGAGATAATGTGGCGCCGCCTAGATCGTAGTTTGAATCTACGTTTGTGCTGTGTGGCGTCACCTGGCGCAGCTGCCGGGCGGACAGTGCTGGGTGTGTAACACGCCCCTCTGTCGGCCAGGTCCGTGGTGTCACCTGGCGCAGCTGCCGGGCGGCCAGTGGTGGGTGTGTAACACGCCCCTCTGTCTGCCAGGTCCGTGGTGTCGTACGACACGTCCGAGCTGGCGCTCTACTCGCTGGACGTGGGTGTGTAACACTGGGTGTGTAACACGCCCCTCTGTCGGCCAGGTCCGTGGTGTCGTACGACACGTCCGAGCTGCCGCTCTACTCGCTGGACGTGGGTGTGTAACACTGGGTGTGTAACACGCCCCTCTGTCGGCCAGGTCCGTGGTGTCGTACGACACGTCCGAGCTGCCGGGCGGACAGTGCTGGGTGTGTAACACTGGGTGTGTAACACGCCCCTCTGTCTGCCAGGTCCGTGGTGTCGTACGACACCTCCGAGCTGCCGCTCTACTCGCTGGACGTGGGTGTGTAACACTGGGTGTGTAACACGCCCCTCTGTCGGCCAGGTCCGTGGTGTCGTACGACACCTCCGAGCTGCCGCTCTACTCGCTGGACGTGGGTGTGTAACACTGGGTGTGTAACACGCCCCTCTGTCTGCCAGGTCCGTGGTGTCGTACGACACGTCCGAGCTGCCGCTCTACTCGCTGGACGTGGGTGTGTAACACTGGGTGTGTAACACGCCCCTCTGTCGGCCAGGTCCGTGGTGTCGTACGACACGTCCGAGCTGCCGCTCTACTCGCTGGACGTGGGTGTGTAACACTGGGTGTGTAACACGCCCCTCTGTCGGCCAGGTCCGTGGTGTCGTACGACACGTCCGAGCTGCCGCTGTACTCGCTGGACGTGGGTGTGTAACACTGGGTGTGTAACACACCCCTCTGTCGGCCAGGTCCGTGGTGTCGTACGACACATCCGAGCTGCCGCTCTACTCGCTGGACGTGGGTGTGTAACACTGGGTGTGTAACACGCCCCTCTGTCGGCCAGGTCCGTGGTGTCGTACGACACGTCCGAGCTGCCGCTCTACTCGCTGGACGTGGGTGTGTAACACTGGGTGTGTAACACGCCCCTCTGTCGGCCAGGTCCGTGGTGTCGTACGACACATCCGAGCTGCCGCTCTACTCGCTGGACGTGGGTGTGTAACACTGGGTGTGTAACACGCCCCTCTGTCGGCCAGGTCCGTGGTGTCGTACGACACGTCCGAGCTGCCGCTCTACTCGCTGGACGTGGGTGTGTAACACTGGGTGTGTAACACGCCCCTCTGTCGGCCAGGTCCGTGGTGTCGTACGACACGTCCGAGCTGCCGCTCTACTCGCTGGACGTGGGTGTGTAACACTGGGTGTGTAACACGCCCCTCTGTCGGCCAGGTCCGTGGTGTCGTACGACACGTCCGAGCTGCCGCTCTACTCGCTGGACGTGGGTGTGTAACACTGGGTGTGTAACACGCCCCTTTGTCGGCCAGGTCCGTGGTGTCGTACGACACGTCCGAGCTGCCGCTCTACTCGCTGGACGCGGTCACCAAGTCGCCCAACCTGGCCGTCTACGACTCGCTCGACGCCGAGGTGACGCAGAGCTACCTCGAGTTCTCGCTGGCCTCCATGCTCTACTACGCGATGAAGGAGGGCGCTTGCAGTGAGCAGAGCAGCCGAATGACTGCCATGGACAACGCCAGCAAGAACGCCGGTCAGTGCCGCCAGCGGGCCCAGCCACTCTTGGTGACTGTTACTGTTACTCTCACTGGCGGGGTGAGGGGGGGCTCACTGTTACTGTTACTGTTACTCTCACTGGCGGGGTGAGGGGGGGCTCACTGTTACTGTTACTGTTACTCTCACTGGCGGGGTGAGGGGGGGGGGACTCACTGTTACTGTGTCTGTTACCCTCACTGGCGGGGTGAGGGGGGGGGGCTCACTGTTACTGTTACATACAGTTGTGTTACATGCGTGCATCATTCATATCATGATTGCCATGAATGTATCAGCTTTTGAATTGATTCTGGCTTCGATCCCATTCACAAGCTTCTTATCCGTTTCATCACGTATGGTAGGTGCGTGATGAACAATGTCGAATTGGTAAATTGTTGGTGATCTCATACATCATGGCGACCTCATTGAGTTATATAACAATCTCAACTGTTGAGTTAGTAATTAAATGCTTACTTAATTACTAGTAATTTCTTATGATTGTCGACTGGATTTTCAACGTCACATGCCGTTATGAGGTTGAAGGCAGATTTTTGGAGGCTAAGGACTCGCTGGAGACATTCCAAACGAAAACTATTCTAATCAACAATTACCGAAACCTTTTTTAGTCCTTTCCGTTTAATTGGTACGCCGCGCCGGTTAAAAGGTGGATAGCATTGCACTTTGTGCGAATGTTCATTGCTTTATTTTATATTGCGGATGCGAAATTACTGTTGTGACGTCTGCATAAGCGCTCGTTGTTTTAGTAAAGTTATGAAGTTTGTAGTTTTATGTTTATTATCAGAGGCAATTAGCCGCTAGTTAGGGATGCTGTTTGCAGCATGTCTTGTCAAAACAATGTAACTTTGGTGTCGGTCGGATGTCCATTCAGCTAATTACCCTGCCTCAGACTCGCAATGTTATTACTATTTGTGGTAAATCGTTTCCCTAGGGTAAGGCGCTCTCTCTGTGTGCAGGCTGCAGGTGTCTGTAATTTTTGCGGACGCTTTTTTCGTGCTCCTCCGCTGCCTTCTCCCAGCGCCGTGGTCGGTCGGCCGCCCACTCAGTCGCTAGTGGTTACTAGTGGTGTCAATCGGAACTTGAATCTTCGGAATTCCGATTTTGTCCAATGTCCAATTCGGAATTCGGCTGGACAATGACAGCAGGCTTTGGACAACTTTGGACAATCGCTTGCTACACCTCAACATTTTTATAAAGTAATCGTGTTTAACATTGATTGGCTATTAGAAAGCTCAGCTTTCGATATGATTACCACTTTTGAGCTGGTAACGATACATTAAAAGCAAATTAAATAGCGGTGTTGAGTGTAAACTATTGCGTAGATGTCGGATATCTTTGGACAAATGGCTGGCTTGGACATTTTTGGACGGACAGTCGACGTAAGTATTGGACATTGGACAGACATTGGACATATGTTTTCTGAAATTGACATCACTAGTGGTTACTGTCCGCCGTGGTTTCACCGCTCGCAGTCGGCCGACTGGTTCGTCGATGTCCTACCCCCGTCTGACCGGCCGTTTCCCCACGCTCTGACCGGCCGCTTCCCCCACGCTCTGACCGGCCGTTACCCCACGCTCTGACCGGCCGTTTCCCCACCCTTCCCAGGCGAGATGATCGACAAGCTGACTCTGACATTCAACCGGACGCGCCAGGCGGTCATCACCCGCGAGCTGATCGAAATCATCTCGGGAGCGGCCGCGCTCAAGTAGGCTGGCCCGAGCCGTCTAATCACAGTGTGCGTGTAAGAATATATGGAGAAACCGAGCGGGAACGCGGCCGCGGCGCCGCACAGAACACTGGAGCTGGAAATATAGACAGGACGGGACTCTAAGTCTGTTTTCGGGGACATACTTACGGATATACGGTCTACGAATTCTAGGGCCCCGAATTTTGCTCGGAATGCTCGTTTTTTTTTTTTTATTCAGGCCTCCCTCCAACGAGCTCGTATCGTCCCAATTACAGGAGAGCTCCTCCTCCTCCCGGCCCTCATTACCCACCCCCCCCAGGCTACGGCTGAAGTGGGAGCCTACCCCACACCTGGTGACACAGCCGGGGACGACGCCCGCGGAACGGGCGGAACCGGGAATCGAACCCGAATCCGGCACCGCCCGCACCGCGGGTCGACGCCTTAACCGACTGCGCCACCAGGGCCGCACTCGTGCTCAAATGGACGAGTGCGGACTGTAGTGTGTACAGTTAGTGTTGTCTGTCAGAGGTAAGGTCGAGTGTCGGCATTGGCCCGCTGTTTGACGCCGTACCGGGAAGGGGCGCTCTCATTATCTCCCCCAAGTCCCAACTCCCAGTCGACTTTTCGCGGACATATTAGCCCTGCCGCCTTGGCAGGCCTCATCATACTCTTTCTTAACCCGCGCCCTGCTGGGGGGGGGGGGGTGTTTGAACACCCCCCCTGTGGTTTTTCGCGAATATCTCAAAAACGGCGGCGCGGAGCGCCGCCGTTTTTGGTATACCTTATCATACATCAATTCTACACATGTTGTAAAAATTTCAGGCCAAGGTCATTCAAGGTCAGGTCACCAGGTCACTTCAAGTGACCTCACCTCATAAAAAGTTTCAATGTCTGTCATAGCTACACCGAGTGACCGATTGCTTTGAAACTTTCAGCGATTGCTAAGAGCAATAGCATGTACAAAATGTATATCTCAGAATTTTGATATCGATGACCTAAGGTCAGGTCAATTTTGCGACCTCCCCATTATAAGTCAATGGGAGAAAATTCAAATGCGCCTCTTTTGGACGAAAGACATTATAAACACTCCCAAACACTGAATTACAAGTGGTTTAGACACACTGAACATGAAAATGGTGTCCGTGACCCCTGTTTATGCCCTGAGGTCATCTAAGGTCACGAATAGTATCTAACAGTTTTTCGCAAATAACTTTTGATAGAGGCATGCTAGAGCGATGAAAGCGCCTTAGATGTGTTCAGCTCGACGATACGGATCGACTGATATGCAACACGACCCTTTCCGGTCAGGTCATGACCTTGACCTGAGGTCAAATTTTCAAGTTGACCTTTCAAGGTCAAGTTATAGTTCATTCGATGCGTCTTGACGAGAGGAACACGATGCCGGTAAAAGTAAGCTCGTACAAGGCTTGAGTCAAAAGTTATTGCAGAAAAACTGTTTCCGAAAAAATCGGCTATTTTTGCAGTTTTTGCCCCCTGCAGGCAAAACCGTTGACGTTAGGTCAAATCTGAGAGAATTACTCAGAAAGGGCGTTAATAGGGCTATCGAATGCGCTTTTCCGCGCCGCTGTAGCCCTATTGGTTCCCGAGTTATACGTTGGCTTCTTGGAAATTGTCGACATTCGACCTTGAAATCGGCGAAATTTTGCCTTCAATGACCTCTGGTGACCTGACCTTTGACCTGACGAAAAAATTGACCGAAGTGATTTCCTCATTATTTTTGACGCTCTTTCGAACGCCGCCTTCCGCGTGTCGCTACGTGGCTCAGGAGCCGAGTTAGAAGGGGGGGGTGTTCAAACACCCCCCCCCCCCAGCAGGGCGTGGAAATCCAGGACCCCCAGCCGGGCGCGGGTTAACGATGGACATCGTTTACCAGGTCTGTTGATTGCTGAAATTACACTCTTGAATCCGCATTATACCCTTGAGTTCATGTGGGTTCATGCAAAGTGCAAACGTCAGCAGTTTTTCGGCTTTAACTTTATTGACCTAGGGTACTTCATGGCCTGATAGAACGATGAAAGTGCTATAGGTATGTTCAATGAACACCGTTACCGATATGAACTCTGTTCATTTCGGCAATACGATCGACTCATGAGCAACATGGCCTCGTTTATGTCATATCCTTGACCAGAGATTACATTTAGAAATTGGTTTTTAGCGCCGTGTTATCATTCAACGCGTCTATTACTTGTAAGAGAAATACGATGCTGTGATTGAAGTCACGCAATAGTACCCAAAAAGTCGTCGAAACATCTGTTTTGATATTTATTACTCTTTCCATATTAACTCGCCCGTATAGGGGGGGCGGGGGGGGTGTCGAACAGCCCCTCGGTTTTTCGCGAATAGCTCGCGTAAAAAGCGGCCGAGCGCGACGAAACTTTCAGTACCCTCGACTCTCGAGTTAATAAATTTTACACCTAACCTAAAAATTTCATGGCCCTGAGTCCCTCTCCCTGACCCAAATGACTGTTGACCTGTGACCTACTTTTCGAGACCATGTTTGGCCGGAATCGCGATTCGGCGTATGTCGGCTCGCATTTGCCGCGCGTTTGCAGTCTTTTCGTGGTTTCAAGCGTTCAAACATGTGATATGATGTTGGTCCCATGCATTAGGGTGGGTGTCATGGTCAGGGTCACCTAAAGGTCAGGTCAGGTCATTGACCTTTGATGACCTCGGTTCACTTTTCAGTTTTACATGTTTTTGGCTAGTTTTTGGAGCTGAATTTGAATTAAGCAACCATTTGAATATTCACGAAGTAGTTTTGGTGTCTTCGTAACATGTTGCAAAGCTGTCAGAGGCGGTTGACACCTAATACGAATACCCGGCAGGACCCTACTGGTTGACCTGACCTGAACTGACTCGACCTGGCCTAAATGCATGAAGACATCTATGATCAAAACAAACATGATATTCGTGATCAGCACCCCGAAAAACCCCTTAGCAGCCACACTTTACCGACGTTCTAACATGTCCCGATTTTCCCGACTTTTGGGTCATTGACCTGACCTAGGACCTTAAAATTGGGTATCATCGGCTTCCTTCGTCACGGGCAACAAGCTCGTTTTTCCGCGAAGCTGTAGCTCGATCAGGGGCGAAACGGCAGGAGGGGGGGGCAGTGTCCAACGGACCCCCCCCCCCCCTTATATGTTCGAGGCTGGGAAAGCACTAATACGGGCGAAAGTAAAGCCATTGACGCGAGGTAAAAAGTGGGGCTGGCGAAATAGATATAGCAAATTAAATGGAAAAGTAAATCGACTCTGAAAAGCGTTACCGAATATTCTATGCTATGTGGCATTCAGGTAGTTGTAGCTTCCTACTGAATATGAGTTAGTTTGTCCCAAACTGAAATAGGCAAAGCTTGACACTTCAAGATGCTAAGCCCTGGTGAGCTGCCTGACGCCTGAGCTAACATATTGCTTTGCTATCCACAACGCTGATGATAGTGATTATGATGGCTTCAAGGTATTGCCTTTGCACCGGCACCCATACCTATTATGTAGGACGTAGGTACTGGGAATTTTTACACTTAGGACTTGATAAGTGGTTGCACTTGCGACCTTTGTGACGCCGCTTGCCACTGGCATGGATTGCTTAGTTGATAGTTACCCACGCCATTTGCTGAGCGGCCATGCCATGGAACCAAGTTCTATGAGGAGCGTTTTTACACCCTACCCATATCGACACGCTATGATCCAACCAGCGAGTTGGCGCGGATTAACAAATGCATGCCCTGTTAAAAATGTATCTCTGCCCAATCGAGTTGAAAGGCAGCAGTGATTGTGCTAACGATTCGTAATACTTGGATGAATTCATGAACAATGCAGAATGCCAGCTCGAGCTACACAACTAAGCCAGATCATTTCCACGAGTAAACGTTGTACTGCAACCCAAGATTACATGGGTAGAGCATGTCAGTAGATATCTGAGCAGTTATGCCTCTATTATAGTACACGTTACATCAGCTGCAGGCAGTGCGGGGACGCGCGGCAGTCGCCGTGCTGCAGTCGACCAGAGCACAGGGCTGTAGGCGCTCCATGGGAGTGTGCTTGTAGATTGGTCGGCTCTGGTTGGACTACTGAACACTGGTGCGGTGAAACAGCTGGCCGTGGGAAGACGGCGCTGCAAAAGAAGACTAGACAGTTGACAGCACCTATGGCCGTGTTTTGAAGCTATGTCGGTAGCCAGCCTCGACTTGGCGGGAAGAATTGGGTCGATGGAAAACAGCAGCCTTGCTGAGGCAGCTGCCGAACTGCGTGTCATTGCCATCCATGACCCTCCGTACACCTGGATACACAACAACCCGAACGGAGCAATCACTTATGAAGGTTATTTGATCGACATCTGGAAAATGATGGCCGAGTCGCTGAACCTCCGCTACCGAATGGTGCCTCTGTTGGAGGGAGGCTTCGGAAGACTAGATGAGAACAGCACATGGACGGGAATGGTGGGCGAGCTGGCCTACGGGAGAGCCGATGTGGCGCTGACCTGGCTCTGGATGAGAGAGGATCGTCTGAAAGTGATCGACTTTCTGGACGCTGTGCCGGTGGAGCAGAGTAACGACGCCCTGTATATCAGCACGGGGGTGAGCGATGACGTTATCGTGAACGCTGGCGTCTTTGGAGCGCTGCTGGGTCCGTTGGACGCGACCGTCTGGTGGACGCTGTTGGGCACACTGCTGCTGCTCTCCTTGGCTCTGAAGGCCTCTGTGAAACTCTGCCCGACTGAAGACAGGCAAACCAAGTGCGAGATGACGTGGACAGTCTGCGTTCTGTCCAGCTTCATGTCGCTGGTCGGTCAGGGTTGGTCTGCAATACCCAACTCCTGGTCCGGTCGCATAATCACATTATCCGCGTGGATACTGTACACGGTCATCTGCAGCAGCTACACGGCTAACCTGATCTCGCATTTGGCCGTGACTGGCGACCCTCGTCCCATCACCAGCCTTCAGCAGTTCTCTGAGCGATCCGACTGGATGTTGGGCTTATACCCTAACCACATCATACTCAACGACTGGAAAGTCAGCAGCGACAAATACGAGCGGGAACTGTACGATCGCGTCGTGAACAAGGACAGATTCGTCCCATATTCTCACACAATAGAGAGTGTTCGTCAGCTTGTCA